GAAGAAAGCGACACACCCTTGTTGGGATCCCACCCTTGAGTGGGTTCTTCTAGTAATCCAGAGTAATCTCTTTACATGAGATTTTGTCCTTGAGTTAGTCTCCTGGAGGAGTGGTCTCACCCCTCTTTGTTGATTTGTTAATGTTCAACCCACCTTCGTATCACCACCCTACATGATTGCTATATAAACTAAGACTGTAAGAGCGGAGGGGGCCGAGTCAGATCCAGAGGCCAGAAGGAAGTGAGGAATGAGGAGGAAGAGTGAGGAGGAAGCAAGAAGGAGAATGAAGGGGGTCAGGAGAGAGAGAGAGAGAGAGAGAGAGAGAGAGAGAGAGAGAGAGAGAGAGAGAGAGAGAGAGAGCAGAAGGGGAGTGGAGATTGGGATAAACTACAATTAACACCGACCAGCCTGCCCTTCCCTTCGTTCTTCCTTTGCCTATCTCCGTCAGACTCCCTGGGGTGGGGGAAACAGCCTGAGACCACTGAATGCAGGCATCAAGAGAGATAGATCGCTGCCAATCTTTCGAAAACACACTCTGGTATCCCATATGGTTCCCTGAGCCTCGCTAAGAGGGATGCCTAAGGGCAGAGTTATGAGTGAGCCCTGAGCACAGCTTAATGGGACCCCAAATCTTCCCCTGCCAGATAAAGATATCTCCAAAACTCTTCATGACCCTGGGACCCCAGAATTCCAAGTTTGGACATGCACCCTCAGACATAACAGATTATTTCATATCTGACTGTGAAATCAAAAAGGGGGGAGAGTTGGGGTCTTGGAGAGATAGTACAGTGGGTAGGGCACTTGCTTTGCATGTGGCCAACCCGGGTTTGATCCTTGGCACTGCATGGTACCTCTGAGCCCTGCCAGGAGTGATCCCTGGGTGCAGAGCCAGGACAGAGCCCTGAGCGAGGTATGGTTCCTCCAAAACAAAACAAAAGCAACCAAACACCAAAAAATAGAGAGTTGGGTCAGAAAGATAGTTCAAGGACTGAGCATAGGCTTTGCATGCAGGAGGCTTCACTTTGATCCTTGGCACTGCATGGTACCCTAGCAACACTGGGGGTGAGCCCTGAGCATGGAGCCTGTGGCATCCACTGAGCATCACTGAGTGTGGCCCTGAGAGAACAAAGTCCAGAATGCACAGAAATGGCAGCCCTCATCCTGCTGTGTTCTTTTCCCTGTGAGGCTGTTCTGTGAAGACCACATTAGGGAGAAGAAAACCGTAATTACCCACTTGGGCTCATGCAGCAGAAAACACACGCTCAATATCCTCAGTTGGGGAAACTAGAATTAAGCGCCCGTTTTTATAACACACACACACACACACACACACACACACACACACACACACACACACCCTCCATGGCAGGCAGAGATGAAACAGAGAAGCCGCCTGCTCGAAGAGGGGCTGTCTGAAATCCCAGGTTTAATATCGGTGGGAAATATTCCTCTATAGAAAGTAAATGCCCTTTAACCCAGGTTCTCTGGGTTCTGTTAGCTGGTGTGAAATTCTCTTGATGATTATCGATTACTGGAAGAGAATTTCTGTATAATGTGAGGTTAAATTTCAGCTTATCTGAAGATTCCCCCCACTCAGCTCCCCCTCCCATTCCCCAGGAACGCTCACATACAGGTATCAGAGGACTGGAGATGTCCTTTTTTATTTCTTGGAGAGAGTCACACCGGTGATGCTCAAGATAACTCCTGGCTCTGCACTCAGGAATTACTCCAGGCGCTGCTCCGAGGAACATATGGGATGCTGGGGATAGAACCCGGGTCAGCCAAGTGCAAGGCAAATGCCCTACCCATTGTACTATCCCTCCAGCTCCTATCTTTTTACTCAAATTATTTTTTATTTGGGGGGCCATAACCAGCCGGGTCTGGGGGTCTACTCCAACTCTGTGCTCAGATCATGTGGTGTTGGGGATAGAATCAGAGTTGGCAAAATGAAATTATCCTTTTTCCTTTTTTTTTGAGGGGGCGATTTGGGAGGGGTGGGCACATCTGGCAGTGCTTGGGGGTTCCTCCCAGCTCTCTGCCCAGGGATCACTCTTGGAGGGGCTGGGGGATCAGACGTGATGCCAGGGATTAAGCCTGAGTTGATCATGTACAAGGCAAAAGACTGACCCACTGCCCTATCGATCCAGCCTTCTTGTCTTGGCCTTTGATTTTAACTTTTATGTCTGGGGGTGGGGGGTGGGAGGGTCTCGGGCACCCAGTGGTGCTCAGTGGTGAGCGAGGGTTGGGTGCACACAATGCAGGTACTTGAGTCTGTACTTTCTCTCCAGCCCCACTGTCTTTTTTCTCTTTTGGTGGGGGCTCTAAAAGAGACATGGGGCTGTCACCAGAAGCAAACTTGGTACCCGGTGTGTGACCCACCCTGTGTGCTATTTCTACTGTCATTTCCTTCTTTCTGTATAAAAGCCTGGGGGGATGGGAGGAGTGGTGAGAAGGTATGAGTGGGCTTTGGGGAAAGGAGATAAGATTGAGGCTAAGGCACTCACGGTGCCCGCAGTCAGCCCTGGTTCAGTGCCCCTGCACCACTGAGAATGACCCCCAAGTACAGAGTCAGAAGCTGCCTGCCCTGCACTCAGCAACCTCACCCCACCCCCAAAATATGGGTTGGGCTTTAAGAGACAATTCTGGGACTTTGTCTTGTTTTGGGGCCACATCTGGTGGCTCTGGGGTGACTCCTGGCTTGTCCTTGGGCACTGTGTGGTGTTGGGATGGACCCTGGGCTTCCCTGCCTCACGGATGCCCGACCCCCTGCATGCTGATGTCTCTCCAGCCCCAATCTCAAGTCCTTGAACCCCCCCATCACTTGTGCTCTCTGACTCCGCTTTCTCATGTGACCTGCCTTCTGAGGATTCAACAGGCTACTGCAAGGAATGAGAGTTTGCAGCACAAACTCTGGCCACAGTAGGAGCTCAGTAAGTGTGTTTATTGTTATGGGTCATCATCATCTCAAGACCAAGACTCTCATCACTATTTTCATTGATGCATTTACTTCCAGAATTGGTCAGGATGAAAAAAGAAAAAAAAGGAAAAAGAAAGAAACCCCCCATCCCCATCCCAAACCCAACAAGCTTAAACACTTTCACTCTGCAGGTGCATTATCAACTATCTTGCTGCCAATTTTATTTTTTTTAAAAAGAGTTGTCTCCCCTGCCTCTAATTCATTTACAAAATTAAAAAAAAAAAATCTCAAGTTGCTACCAAGTATTGACTGACATCATTTAAAGGGCTACATAATGCTCCTGTACCTTTAATGGATCTATTGTGTTTGGTTGGGTTCCCTCCCTTAATCATGTACCCCAATCTTCTGGAGAAGCAGGGGCAGGTCCCCCAACATATTTCCAGCGCAGCACCCCTGGCTGGCTAAGGGGGGCTGTCACTCAACAGGGATCTGCAGACCCTGCTACCTGGGCTTTGGGTGAATCCGCCCCCCTCACATCCCAGGGGTTCCTGGATCCCCTTTTACAAACTGTGACAGGTTCTGCGCCAGCCACATCTCCCAAGCCCAGAAACACTAAACACTAATCACAGACAGTCCCTCCAGCCCTGCCACTGGGGTTTAGAAATAAACCCGGAGGTCTGTGGTCCTCTCTGGGGTGGGTCTTTAAGCTTCCTGGGAAATTCCCATGATAGTCCCGTTCTCTGCCAGGGTACAAAGAAGGCACTTAGGATTTCCTGCTTAGGAGCAAAGGTGGGGCTGGTGGACCAAGTGGGAGGGCAGCTCAGGGCCCCTAATTTAGAGCCCCTAATCTCTCATCGCCGTGTCAGCATTGCCTATTTTAATGGGCACCCAGTGGAAACCATTCATGGGGCCACTCTACAGCCGGGAAAGCTGAGCAGCCAGAGAGAGGGAGGGGCGCGCCCACCAGCACCGTTCTGGACGGCCCTGGACTGTTTGGAGCATCCCTCCTGGGACGCCCTCAAGCTCGGAAATGAAAAAGCACACAGTTTCTCAAGGGAGACTAAGCCTGACCTGGCGCTGCAGTCTGGAAAGTCTGAAAATTGCCTCTTCTCTCACATCCTGTAAACAAGGATGTTCCTCGGAGGCCTGAACACCATCCCAGGTGGTCCGGAGGTCCAGGTGACCGAGTGAAGGTGAGGGGGTTCGTATTGGGCACGGCAGGTAACACCCAGGAGCACCCCCCCACCCCCACACTTCTCCCATCCCTATTGGACTCCAGGGCCAAGAAACTGGAGTGGGGGCAGCCTCTAGCTGAGTCCCCGCTTTCCGCTGCCGCCTGTCAGGACAGCTCACCCGGGGCTGTTCTGCATCTCAAAGGTACCAGGAGAACTGGCAGGACCCAGAGCAGCCGCTATTGATGCCCGCTTGTCCCAGCTGACCTCACCGAGCTAATTCGTCAGGCGCCCGTCTGCCTCGCTACTCTGGACACGCACCCCAACCCCGTGCAAACAGATGACACCAGCGTCTAGGGGGGACCTGTCACGGCGCAACCAGCCAGGGGCTTTGGCTGCCCCAGATGAGCCCTGCGGTTGCTCATCCTTGATCGGTAGCGTGCCAAGGCGGCTTAGGAACCAGCGGCCTGGCAGCGGTGGCACCCAAAGTCAGCGGGCCGCGCCTAGGAGGGGGGCTGGGGGGACAAAGTCCTGGTCCCACTGGCTCCACCACGGGTGGGTGGTGACAGCCTCATCTGCTCCTTCTGGGCCCCACGCCTGCGGTTTCACAGGTTCTTCCAGAAGGCACTGAGCTCTGTCATGGCCTATGCTCTGGCAAATGTTCTTGGGTCAAGGTACCAGGAGATGGAGATGCAGGCCTGGGGGGCTGGGACCCCTCATGGTCCTGGGTCCTCCTGCACTGCCCATTCCTGTTCTGCTGCCTCTTGACGGGGGCCCGGGCCTCGCCTCTCTCATCCATGCTATAGTGCTAACGGGTACGCGCCCCCCTCCCCAGGGTGCTGGTCATGGAAACTGAGCTAGGGGGAAGGCGTGGAAGGTCTCAGCCCCACGGCCAGACTCTCCAGAGGCAGAGACCAGAGGCTCGAGAAGGGGGGTGATCTGCTCAGAGCCCCACAGCGAGGGGTTCCCATGAGAGGCCAGCCTGCGGGGGTGGGAGAAGAGCCCAGTGGCCACGGGGGCCTCTTCTGCACCAGGAGGCAGTGGTCACTGCAGAAGGGGCAATGATCAGGGATCATTGCTCCAAAGGGTCAAACACTTTATTCGCAGGCCTGGTTGTTTTTGTTTGTGAGTTGACAGGTGTCCTGCCGTCCAGGGAAGGGCAAAGGGGAAGTGGTCTCGTGCTGCTCAAGGCCTGGGGGCCTGGGGCTCTGTCCCTGTCCTGTCGCCTGCTTGCCGGCCCCACGGGTCCCTCTGTTGTGGGATAAGGCACTGTGTGTTCTGCAAGAAGGCGCTCACGGCTGGCTGGTGGACGACGAGGCGGCCTTCTCAGGGACTGTGAAGCTGAGGCGGTCGAGGTGCGGCGCTGACCCGGAGCGGGTGTGGGGGTCCACCCCTGGCTCTGGCCCAGCTGCCTCAGGAGGGGATCATGCCTTTGCTCCGTTTGCGGTCCGCCATGGTCCTCCGGTTGTGGTTGGCGCGGGTCGCCTTGCTGGCCTCCTTCTTCCTGCGCTCCTGGGTGGTCTCCCGGTTCTGCCCGTGGCCCCGGGGGCTGCCGGCCACCGCCGCAGAGTTGTCATGCCGGTGTCTGAGGAGGGGAACAGTGCCCCCCCCAGGAGAAACCGCCCATTGGAAGAGGCTCTGGGCGGCAAAGGCCCTCCCCTCCGCAGGGTCCCAGGGAAAGGACGTGGTCTGTACCCTGATGCCCAAGTCCCGACTCTGGGACAAGAGGGCAGATAATAGGCTGGATGGTCAGAGCTCAGGGGAACTGGCCAGGTCTGGGATTGACCTTCTCTCTTCTCTAAACCCCCAGAGGTGCCGCTGGCTAAGCCGTGGGGAGGAACAGCCAAGAAGAGGCCAGGAGGGGGCCTGGAGATGGGTTCCCGAGTCCTCATGGGTCAGGTGAGGAGAATAAATGATAGCAGTGGCTAATCTGCAGGACTGGGTGGTGAGAGCTGGACTACTTTACATAAAGCCCTGAGGGTGCGTGGGCTGGGGGCCCAGGCGAGCCCCCTCCAACCCCCCACCCCGCAGCAAAACAACCACTTAAGATGCTCACCCCTTCCTGGCCAGGAACGCCAGGCGCCGGGCTTCCGCCTTCTCTCGCAGCACTGCGGGGTCCTGGACAAAATGGTCAGGCTGTGCGGGGGAGGGAGGGAAAAGCGCGTGTTCGTGAGCCGGGCGAGTCTCTGCTGGACTGAAGCTGGGGGAGGCCTCCACGCGGAGTTGGGGGGAAGCCACCGTGGGGCCGGGCAACACCCCCCAATGGAGCCGAAGAGGGGGACTGTGAGGGGTCTGAGGCTTCTGGACACGTGTCCCATAGGAAGAAGGACAATGACACGGGGAGATGGTGGGCAGCGGTGGTGGCCTGGCCAGCAGGAGGGCCCACGTAGGGCCGAGAAAGCCGAGAGGGCAGCCTTTGGCAGCTGACTCTCCCCCACTCTGGGTCAGCCACGATGTGGCAGGAAGCACTCCTCAGGACCCCTCCTTTTTGGGTCCCGGCTGTTCTCAGGGCTTATTCCCAGACCGGTACTCAGGGTTGCCTTCCGGCGGTGCCAGGCAAGCACCATAACCCCTGCACTCTCTTTCCCGTCCCTTTAGGGTCATCTTTATACCAAGAGAAGGAAGGGGTTGGCCCAGGAGGGCGACACTGTGACCGAAGGAGCTCAGACAGACTCTAGTGACCTGTGCTGTTTAAAGGCACAAGCAAAACAAGCAGAACCAGCAATATTTGAAAAACTGGAAAATTTGACAGAAGGGTTCAGTCCGGGCGAAGTCTGTGTAGAGCGGGCCCCACGGGTGCTGCCCGCCCCCTGCTCCATCTCTACCAGGTCCTGCTCCTCATCTGCTTTGGTGGCCTGGCCTGGGACACAGGGGACATGAGGGGCTCTGGTGAGCCCAGGCTGCCACCCCGATTCCATCCAGGTTGCTCCGCTCTTGTCTGATTTATATGCCGAGGGTCTACTGAACCTCATTTGAAGACAAAGCAGAGCTGCCACAAAGGGATCTTCAAAGCCACAGCCTGGCTGACCCCGGGACCCCTGGGCGTTCCATCCTCTCTCATCTGCGGAGTTACCATCCTGGGCACGGATCGCAGCCCCAGGCACCTGGGACTCTGATGTGCCCCCACAGTCCCGCCAGGAGCACAGACTGGAGAGGTGTGAGCTCCCAGTTCTCCAAGTAGACCCCTCTGCTCCAGAGGCAGTGATGCTGGGGCTACCTTGAGACTCATGGAAGGAAGGGCGGGGGTCTGCGGTGCTCCCAGTCCCCCCTTCAGAACCGAATCCTCCCCTTCACTGATCCCCGCCCCCGCCCCCATGCCTGCCAGGCGTCATAGAAGGTACCTTGGGGGCCTCATCCTCCGCCTCCTCTTCTTCCTCCTCCTCTTCCTCCTGCCCTTCCCTGGGCACTTTGGTTCTCAGCACCTGAGGGGTGGTGAAGGGCCTGAGGATTGAGAGAGAAAGTGACATCAAAGATGAGAGCCGGGAGGTGAGGGGGGAGAACTCCAAATGCCAGCTCTGCCTCCAGGCCAGGTCTAATGGGGGTAGGCAGGGAAGCTGAGCTGGGGCTGTGCGTGTGTGTCTGTGTGTGTCTGTGTATGTGTGTATGTGTGTGTGTGTGTGTGTGGGGGGGGGGTTGCATGTCTCCAGTCCTTCCCAGGGCAGCTCTGCTTTGATCTGTATCAGGGAATCTCCATAAGGTTCCACTGGGCAAGTTTTCTGCAATTAAGAGAAAAAAGGCAAAACTACCACAGGAGGGACTGGCAAGATGGTTCAAAGGCACAGGCGGAAGCCCTGAGTTTGATCCCTGGCACTGCATGGTTCCCGAGCACTGCCGCGACCAACGCAGCACAGACCTCTCGGTGTAGTCCCAATCCGAAACAAACCCGACACCACTAAATGAGACCAAGAGAAAGTGGCTGCATTCAAGAGGGGCCAACCAGCCGGGGTGTGAGAGGGTGTGGGGAGAGGGCCCTGGGCCCCCCATCTGCCCTGCCCCCTGCCCCCCCCCCCACCCCAGCGTACAGCCTCACCTGCGGCTGATGAGCTCGTCATCCGAGTCGGCATCGTTGGCGCCCACCTGGTTGCCGTCGTACGTGTCGTCGTACTCGTCCTCGTAGCTGTCGCCTCGGTAGGACAGGGCCTCACCTGGCTGCAGGGGCACCTGCAGGGGCAGCAAAAGCAGAAGCTGGACGGGCGCGGGGCGCGGGGGGGGTGTCCCAGGCCCGCTGCTGCCTACCTCCTCCACCACCACGCTGTACTGCTCGTAGCGCTGCCGCTGGGCGTCCACATCCCGCTTGTCGTTGAGCAGGCTCCGCGCCGTCTCTGGCTTCCTGGCAAGCAGGGGGGAAACACACCATCAGGCCCCCAAGGCCAGGGGCTCCTCCATCCCCCTTAGGCCGGCCACACCTAGCACTGGCGGGCATGTGGGAGGCCAGGACACTCGGGGCTGCTGGTGCCCGTGGACCCACAGAGGGCACTGGTCACTGCAGAGGGCATCCCAGGAGCAGTTAGACGAATGGAGAGTGACGAGCTGGAGAGGTGGCACAGGAGTGGGGCACTTGCCTTGCATGTGGATAACCCTGGTACGATCCCCGGTCCCCCAGCACTGCCAGGGACAAGGCCTGAGCGCCCCTGGCTGTGGACCAAACACTCCCCTCCAATAATAACCACAAAAAAAGAATGGAAATGTGGCTGGAGTGATAGCGGGTAGGGCGTTTGCCTTGCACGCAGGCAACCTGGGTTCGATTCCCAGCATCCCATAGGGTCCCCTGAGCAGCACCGCCAGGAGTAATTCCTGAGTGCATGAGCCAGGAGGAACCCCTGTGCATCGCCAGGTGTGACCCAAAAAGCAGAAAAAAAAAAAAGAATGGAAGCTAGGAGCCAGGGATATCACTCAGGCCAGAGGCATCGAGTTGACCTCAACACGGCATTGTCCTTCTCCATCCTGCCCACCCCCCGCCATGCCAGGGTGGCCCCTGTCAGAGTACCAGTGGGAGTGTCCAGCACCCCTGAGCACGGATTGGGAGCCCCCCACCCCCAGGAAAAGTAGCAGAGGCAGGGACGTAGCTCAGTGGTAGAGAAGTTCCCTTGTACGTGTGAGACCCTAGACTCAAACCCTGACCTCTGATCCCAAAAGTGTGTACATTTGGGCAATTTTTAAAAAATTTTTTTGCTTTTTTTGGGTCATACCTGGCAATGCTCAGGGGTCACTCCTGGCTCTGCACTCAGGAATCATTCCTGGCGGTGCTCAGGGAACCATATGGGATGCTGGGAATTGAACCCGGGTCAGCCGCATGCAAGGCAAATGCCCTACCCGCTGTGCTATCGTTCCAGCCCCATGGGCCAGGAAATTTTTGTTTTCTTTTGGAGAGTGACACCAGGCAGCATTTGGGGGGCTATTCCTGGTTCTGTACTTGGGGATTGCTCCCAGTACTATTCAGGGTACCATGACATGCCAGGGACTGAAACTTGGCTTTAGTATCATTCAGCCTACCGAGCTATCTCTCTGCTCCAGAAACTTCCCCTTGAGGTGTCTGCCCAACAGAAACTCTGGTTAAGGGCACAAGGAGGTGCCCTCAAGGATTTTCTTTTTTGGAGGGGGGTGGGGTTTGGGCTACACTTGAACGTTGTTCAGGGATCCATCCCAGGGGTACCGGGGAGACCGAGTGGTACTGGGGCTCAAATCCAGACCTCCTGCCTGCAAATCCTGTTTTCATTTGGCGATGCTGTGTCGCGAGCCCAGGGCTGCACACAGACAAGGCTCGTTGCTGCCGAGTCCTGGGCCCCGGCAGGGTATTTTCTTTTCCGCATTGCTTATCGCGGGGAGAAACGGGAAGCAATTTGTGATGTCAGGTTTCTCACAAATGAGACGGCCAAATGAGCCGTGCTACATCTGTATGACAGAACACGGTGGCAGTTCTCGAGAAAGACATTAATCTATTTGCGCTGACAGAGAAAGAAGTCTGAGACTTATTCCCGAGGGGGGTGGGGTGGGGGAGCGAGCTGCTGGGAAGGCGCACGGCACGATCCCATCTGTGCAAAAAGCAGAAAGTCGACCAGACGGCCCTGCACGTGAATGCAGAGAGGAAGCTGGTCAGCCGAGTGAACACGGAGCGGGCAGAGGTTATTTAAATCTTTTCTAAAACCAGCATTTAAGGGGCTGGAGAGATGGCACCGGGGTTAAGCACACGCTCTGCATGTGGCCGATCCAGCTATGACCTCCAGCACCACCCCAAAGATGAGTGGGAGCAAGACCTGAGCATGAAGCTGGGAGTAGCTCCTGAGCACTGCTAGGTATGGGTCCAAAACAGCTCTGCCTCTCCCCCCCCCCAAAAAAAGGTAAATAAATAAACATTTACGAAAGGGAACTAGAAAAGTAGAGAAACAGTATGGGGGCAATTATCTGCCATAGAGGCAGGGGGAGGGGTGGGATGGGGTGAGGAGGGTAGACTGGGGACATTGGTGGTGGAAAAGGTGCACTGGTGGAGGGACGGGTGTTTGATCACTGGATGACTGAAACTCAAACATGAAAGCTTTGTACCTGTATCTCACGATGATTCAAGAGAGAACCAGGACATCCCATAACTGCCGGCATGAAAGTTCATCTATTGGCACAGCTTCACAGAATCATGATCGAATCTTGTAAGAGAGCACCTAGCAGCAGAAATTTCTTGGACACACCAGCCCCCAGCTGAGAACTCCGGGGTGCCCTTGGGAAGGGCATAAACCAAGTCCATTCTGCCGAAGCCCTGGCAGCCGCAATTACACCCCAACAGCTGCTGCCATGCCCCTGGCTGGACTCTACTCTCCCTCGTCTGAGCTCTACAGAGATGACAAACTGCCAAAAATTTCAGGTACACCCTTTTTTTTGGGGGGGGGGGCTGAGAATTCTGGGCCTTCTCGGAGTCGGAATGGGCAACCTCCCCCGACCTCCCCAACCTGTACTTCCAAAAACCCCAGCTGCCATGCCACACCCATGATCCCCCACTGCCACCATGTAAATTCGCTGCCCAGTTAAATACTCTGGATCACGTGGCCACATCTGCAGCTGTGCAACACCTCCAAACTCTACAATACTAACACCCCCTTGGAGCACACCTGCTTGGATGGGAGTGTAACGCAGAAGCTAACTGAGCTCAACTAACAAAACACCGACACACAAGGCTCAACTAGCTTAGTAAACCCTCAGACAAGGACTCAATGTCCCCATGATAAGACAATTTACACAAATTTTCTTTTGCTGAAGTAGTTTTTGATCATTCCACTAGCCATGTAGTTGTAACAAGCAATATAAAATAAATCACTGCGGGCCCACTACAGGGGCAGGCTTGAGGGGTGGTTGGGAAAATGGGGGACAATGGTGGAAGGAGGGGGACAGTGGTGGTGGGATTGGTGTTGGAATATTAAATGCCTGTAACAAATCATCATGAACACTACGAAGTATAAGTAAAGTGGGGGGGGGAAGGAAAGGGACTGAGGAGGTTGTTCAAAGGGCCAGAGCACATACTTCACACGTGGGCGTCCCAGAATCAACCCCTCACCTGGCAGTTCGGGGTTGGTTCTGGGAAAGGCCCCTGAGCACCACCAGGTTTGAGGGGTGAGGAGGGTCCTGGCCTCTCCTTTACTTTTGTCTGCCACTTTGCAGGTCAGGCCTGCAAGGTCAACTCCTGCCAGGCTACAGGCAAGGAAATTGGGACGCAGTGGAGGCATGGTGGGTGGGTGGGTGGGGGCGCAGAAAAATGCCCAGGACTCTGATCAGGGCAGCACTATGGCTTTGGGGCCTTGGCCTGACTTGGGGCTTTGCAGACCCAAAGCAAAATCTGGCATGTCAGGCACATAATCAGGCCCGAGGAACAGAGTTTTGAGTCCTGCAGGGAAAAATCAATAGGAGATGGTCAGGCAAGAAAATCCAGCTTAGCTGTGAAATCAGGCCTTTGGAATTTATCTACGACAGGGGAGAAAAAGGGGGGGAGGGGGGAACAACAAAAAAACAACAAACACCCATAAAGCTCTGCACAGCTTTCACAAAAACTTATCCACTGGCTTTTGGTGCAGGGAGGGGCTGGCACTGTCTGTCGGGATGTTTGCCTGGAGATGCCAGGGGGATGGGTTAGCCTTTGGCTTCTTCCAGCATTTTGTTTGTTTGTTTGTTTTTTGTCTTTTTGGGTCACACCCAGTGATGCTCAGGGGTTACTCCAGGCTCTGCACTCAGGAATTATTCCTGGCAGTGCTCAGGGGACCATATGGGAGGCCCGGGGTCGAACCCGGGTCGGCCGCATGTAAGGCAGACGCTCTGCCCGCTGTGCTATCACTCTGGCCCCCTTCCTCTCGCGTTTCTATGAAGGGCCGACTATGCTAGCCAGGGAGCTGGGCTGAGGTGGGGAGAGACTCAGATCTGGATGTCCCCTGGTGGAATCCCACAGTTCAGTGGGTGTGACAGCCTGGCCTCAGCAGCCACCAGGAGAGGTGGGGACATGTGAGAGCAGGCGAGCAAAAAAACGATGGTGCTGGGGGACCACATGTGGCGCCAGGGACTGCCAGGCAGGTGCCTTATCTCTGTTCTCTCTTTGGCCTCAAGAGGGCAGTTCTTTCAAGCGTGGCGGCTCCTGGTTTCGTGGCTCGCTGGCAGGGCCAGCCAGGAAAGCCTGGCAAACTGCCTACCCGAGCTGGGGACAAGTGAGCTTGGAACGCCGGGTACCTCTTCAAGGAGAGGGAGTGGGTTCCCTGATGCCAGTTAGAGTCAGGAAGGAAAAGAAAACTGGGGTGAAACTACGGGGAAACATAGGTGCACTTGAGAGCCCCGAGTTCAGTCGGGTTTGGGAAGGTCAATGGTGGCACACGAGCTGTGGAGAGGCGGGTCTCATCCCCCACAGGAGGGCAGCGAGCCTGGGAACAGGCGGGTTCCCCCGCAGGCCGGTCCCCTTTCTCTTTCTCGTGTTCTCTGACCTGGCCTTCAAGTCTCTGAGCTTCCACGGGGCCTGCAGACGCCATAGAAGTCTCCTTTCCTGGGTATAGAACTGGGGGACCCCGGCTGCCAGGCACTTCACTCAAGGCTGCAGAGCCACTTCCTAAGCCACCAGCCCTTGCTGTGTTCTGCCCTCCACGATGGACGTGAGGGTGACCTAAGCGGGGAACAGAAGCGGAGCCGGCCTGCTGGCTCAGCGGGGTGGATCCCGGTCCTTCCCCCATGGGTCTAGGCAGGCCCGTGCTCTGGGAGTGCCCGGAGGCGCAGTGCCCAGGCGGTGTGTGCCACGGACCTTTCGGGGGAAGGACACTCACTGTCTCCGCTCAGCCCACGGCAGCTCTGGGACCTGTCCTTGGACTCATCGCCCCGTGCTGGGCCCTGGTGCACCTAGCCGCATGCAAGCCTGGGGTCCACAGCCCACACCCTCACCTTAGCCACTTTGTAACAGACTCTCATTTTCCTCACATCTTCCCATCTTCCCTTCTTGTTCTAGAGCCCTGTGTTTTGGCCCTGGGGTCCCGTTCTCCCAACGACCTGTATGGGGAGCCTAGAGCCTTCTGGGAAATCTCCTGGCCTCTCCCAGGAGAAGTGGAAGGGGCCAGTGGCTCTCTTAGCACTGCCACTTCTAGGGGTCATCAGCGACAGAACAGCAGCCATCCAGCGGCCTCGAGGGAACCAGCACTCAGAGACAGCCCATCTGCCTCCAGGACGGTGTGGCCGCAGGTCAACCCACATCTGCGGCCCCAGGGGCCCCCTCCTGATGCCTCGACCCTCTGTCAGTGCTCTGTTACTGCTGTCTTTCCCATGGTCTCTGTCCCACTTGAAGGAGAAGCCCAGGTACCCTGCTCGCCTTGCCTCCTTGTGTCTCGCATAGGATCTGGCGTTGCTAGTAAATCGCTTAATAAATATTTGCTGGATGAATAAATAAATAATGAATGCATCAACAGCGGCTTTGCTGTCCTGCAAGCCCGGCCCCTCGGCTCCCCTGCATAATGAGATCGTAAACAGCTGCCATCCAGGCTCTGCGGGCCCTCTCATCAAGGACACAGTCCTCTTTGCCTGCCTGCTCCCTAGTCGGGAGGTACCAAGGGCCCGTCTGGCCGGGGAGCTGGCTGGGGAGCATGGCCCGGGGAAGCGGAGTAATGTCTCCAGCCTGACTGCGATCCGGGGATGTTGCAATGGGGGTGACTAAGCACTTTGCGATGGCTTCCTGTTCAGCCAGCCAGATGGCTTTGGGGCTGCCCTGGGCCTGCGCCCCAAGCCTGGGCCAGTCAGGCGCCCAGCCTGGGGTGCACCCAGGGGGAAGGGAAGCCGCAGGGTCGCCTTTGCCCTAGGGGGTTCCTCTTGGCACTGGGCAGGGACCATCCCCTCCCTAGCAGTTCCCACATTTCTGGATGTCATGCGCCAACCAAGGGCACTGGGGGAGACTTCAGGTGACTGACAGAGCGTGGGCTGTGGAGAGTTTTGTCATTCTCTCCTCAGCCACTCATCACACCGTGGTGGTTTGCTCTTGGTGCCACCGGAGGAAGCCAGAGTGAACTTCCAGAGCCAAGGGCTCCTTACAGAATGGAAAACGGTCGTCGGCACCGGGCCCCTCACTGTGCTCCCCATGTTCTGGGGTCGCTGCCCCAGAGGCTCACTCAGCTGGGAAGGCCTTCCCCCACACTCCCTTGCCGAATGGGCTTTTCTCCAACTTTCTACTCCTGTGTAAGGCCCCTGCACTGGTGGCTCAGTGCAGGAGTGGAAGCCGGCATGTTGCCTCCTCTGAGGCGCCTGCTAGATTCATAATTTCACACCTCCGAGTCCTCGAGAAATCGCTCGGTGCAGACTCCGCACAGGGAGGGGCGGGGGTGAGTCCCCACGATATCCCGGCACTGGAAGAATAACGCACTGACACTGCACTCAGCACCCAGAAAAGATCGGTTGAGTGAATGCATGCATTAGGAAGGAATTCTTTTTTTTTTTTCAATGACATTAAAAAAGATAGGTGGGAAGGGCACAAACTTAAAAAAAAAAAAGTAATCCTTTTCACCTCCTGAAAAACTAACTCAATACTGGTCCCTCACTAGCTCACTCTGTTGACTGGCTGGTTTTTAGGCTATACCTGGCGCTGCTCAGGGCTTACTCATGGCCCTGTGCAGAGATCATTCCTGGTGAGCATGGGGGACCTTATGGGAAGCTGGGGATTGAACCCAGGTCCACTGAGTGCAGGCAAGTACCCGACCTGCTGTACTAGGGCTCTAGCCCTCACCGGCGCATTCTGGAAAAGCTCTGGGAAGCACTGCCGGGCTTCACCATCCAGAGATTCAAGGGTCAACACGACAAAAGACAGAAGAGAAACGGGGGTGGTCTTGGTCCTGCTGGCCTGCAGGGTGCCAGGGGCATCCTGAACTGAAATTCATGCCAGTTCTGTAAAGATGGGGGTCCTGAGCTTCCTTGGCTTCCACACCACACTGGCTGGGCCCCACGGCCACTGACTCACCTCCTGCCCTTGTGCACCCGGCTCAGGTCCACCGAGTCCCGGCTGAACACGTCAAACTCATCGTTCTGGAAGACGTTGTGGCGGGATGTCAGCAGAGGCGTGGGGTCGGGTGTCACCTGTCTGGAGGACGGCAGGGAGTCAGGAGGCGGGGATCTCAGCAGCGGACACCCACTGTGTCCTAGTCCCCCACCGGAGAGTCTCCACTCCCAGGTGGGCGGCAGCCACACCTGGGTCACAATCTGAAGCACAGTGTTCGCTGGCTTCTGCCTGGGCATGCAGTCACACCTGCAAGTGCCCCCGGGCACATGTGTCAGGCTTCAAGGGTTTTCTCTGCTTCTTCAGGGCTCCTGCTTTTGTTTTTTTTGGGCAACACCTGGCCGTGGATTGATGTCTGGCAGGTTTGGAAGACCACATGGGGTGCTGGGCATCGAACCCGGGTCATCCGTGTGCCAGGCAAGCACCATATCTGCTGTACTATCGCTCCAGTCTCCCCGCCAAGCTTCCCACCCCCCCGCCCCCAACTCTTATTTAAGACTCACAAGAGAACTGTGGGCTGGGCAGGCCTGGCTCACTCAACCTCTTTGGTGCCTCAGTACTCTCACCTGAAAAATGGGCACCAAGGAACCAAGGCCCTTGTGCAAAGGCACAGAGCAAACTGTTCACTTTTCAAATAAATCACATCTGTTCCTGGAGGTTCCCCCTTCCTGCAGACATGTCTGCGGGAAGCCCACTTGGGACGGTGGGAGGGATGGAGAAGCTCTGCGTGCGCCCTTGAGGCTGTCTGGGGAGGGTGGCAATGACTCTGCAGCACTGCAGGGCTCGGAGAGCCTTTGTCACCTGCCCTTGTGTCTCTGAGTGACTGTTCCCAGGAGCTGCTGCAACATGCCCATCTGGGCCCTCATGGCGCGCCCTGCAGGGGGCAGGCGAGAACCTTGTGAGGAGCCTCTGCCAAGGGCCGGGAAGCCTGGTATGGGAGAGGGTGAGTGAGCCGAGTCGTGGGGCCCCCAGAGGGAGAGAGTGAAGCGGGGGCCCGAGGCAGGTGGGTGCCGTCCGCCTCCTCCCACCTGTCCTGGCTGCGGTCCAGCTGGCTGAGGCTGGGGGCCAGCCGCTCCTCCAGGATGTTGTTGATCACCTGCTCCGGGTCGTAGCTGTAGTGCTCCAGGCAGGCCAGGATGAAGCCCTCGCCCAGGTCCGGCAGCAAGTCCTTAACTTGGGAGATGAGCGAGTCCAGCTCCACTCCGCTCACGGAGGGGATGGGGGCAGCCGCGGCCCCCAGGCACTGTGGAAGAGCCAGAGTGAGGCAGGGCAGGTGGGGTCCCAGCCAGAGCACTGGACACCGAGTCTGGGACCTTGTTTGGGTCTCGGCCCTGCCCTGACTTGGGACCTTGGCCCAAGTCCTTTACATGGGACTTGGCCGAATGACTCAAGTTTGTCTGCCTCCTTTTCCTCCCCTGTAAAAAATATCGGGAGGGCCCTCGATGACTAACCGGCGGAGTTCCACCTGGCTGTGTGCCTGTGGGCAGGGCACTTCCCCTCTCTGAACCTCAGTTTCCTCTGTAATGAAAAGGGCCCACTACACCCATCTCATGGGGACTGTTTCCAGTGGCTCAAAGTGATAACACACAAGTGCTGGCGCCGGGCATTGCCCATAAACCAGTGCCTCGGGCCCTTGTCCAGTTCTAACTGGTTGGAGGAGGGAGACGGCACCCAGCAGATCCAGACCGAGTGGAAATGCTCCCCTTGAGCTTTATATAATCTTTTTTTTTCTTTCTCAAGACATGCGCTCCACTGCTGGGCCATCTCCCTGGGTACCTTCAATTATATTCCTTTTCATAAAGAGGATTTGGTTTACAGAGAGCTGATAATGGCTTCATTTTCTGTTTGGTTAGGCTTTTCCTTTAAGGAAATTCACAAATCCAAACAATGATAACAACAACAACAAAAAAATAAAAACACCTCGCCATGACTCAGAAGCAAGAGTCAAAGAGGGGGAGGGAAGTAAAAGGTGGAGGGAGGGAGCTGTCACTCTCCCAGTCAGGGACAGTCGAGAGGGGGAGCAGGATCTGCCACTGGGACCCTGGGACGGCTGGGATCTGTGCATGGCCCATGGCAGTGCCGGGCTCCCAGGCCCCATCACCAGATGAGGATGCGCATATGACTGACATGCTGAAGGCTTCCCAGGTGACGGTGGCACGAGTCCCCTGAGCTGCCCACCCCACCCACCACAGGGCAGAGTCCTGGGCTCTGGGGCCTGTCAGCACAGCGGTAGTGCAGCTACCTGGTGACGTCTGCACAAGCCTGGGGAGAAAATACCAGAGCGGAGGTTTCCCGACTCGCCCAGGCTCAGGGGAGGGCTCCAGGTTGCCAAGGCATCAACCCAACCCAAGCAAAGCAGCTCCAGTGCTACCTGTGCCAGGGCCAAAGGGGCATTCGTGTCCAAAACGCACCACTGGGGGCGCAGAGTGATAGTAGTGTGTAGGGTGTTTGCCAAGCATGTAGCCAACCTGAGTTTGATCCCCTGCATCCCATACGGTTCACTGAGCAGCACCAGGAGAAAGTCCTGAGTGCAGAGCTAGGAGTAGCCCCTGAGCATCACCAGGTATGACCCAAAAAGACCAAAAACAAAACAAAAACAAGACACAAAGCATCAGTGAGGCAGGCTGGGGAGAAAACTCAATGGGCTAGCATGTGCTCTGCATGCGGCAGGCCCTGGGTCAGTCCCCTGCATCACATGGTCCCCTGAGCACTGCCAGGATGTAGCCCCCAAACAAAAACTCCGAACAAACAGGATGACTCCTTCACTTTCCAGAGGGAAGCTGGGTTCTCTCCTCTGACCCTGTGTGTAGCCCCAAAACCTGTTGATTCAAAAAGAGACTCATCCCTTGAGGGGGGCCGCCCACTGTCCCCACCTCGCTGTAGGGACACAGGTCGGGGCGAGCAGACACGTACCTCCTCATCCTCTGACTTCCCAGGCTGTGACAATGACCCGCTCACTGGCTCAGAAGCCACCTCAGCCCCGTTTGGCTCCTCCGTCCCTGGGGGCCCTTTAGCATCTGTGGCTTTCCGGCGGTCCACTCCTTCCCACGCACTCTCGACCGCCTGCAGGATGTAGGCAGCCCGCGTCTCGTCCCTAGGACACTGTGTTAAGGCATGCTCGCCGGTACTCGGGTCCCCTGCCTCAGTGTAAGGGGAGCAAGTTCCCCCTTCCCCCCAGCATCAGACATGGGCTTGTGCCGGGGAATCCCTGGGCTGCACCCAGAGGTGCTGGGGCGCTGTGGCAAACCACAGTCACGCTGGCCTGGAGATCCTGTAAAGAAGCTCTGGGTAGAGATGGGGACCAGAGCTGAGCCATGGGTATGAAAGGCTCCTCCTTCTCCTCTGCACAGACCATTCGGAAGGGGGTCTGGTGGGGGCTCAGCCTCTGGGTCTCCTGTCCGACCCACTGGGGCCTTTCTGCAAAGGGGACTGAGCAACTGAGTCACGACAAGGGTCCCCAGGAGCTGCCAAGCAGACCTCTGGGGCTGTCCTCCGTCCATTTTCAATCTAGAGTCTCACTGCCCACTGGGGGCTGAATTCAAGCAGGTTCGGCATGAATTCATGCCGAAGGTCCTGGGCTCGGAAGGTCCCAGGGCAGTTCGCTTCTCCGAGTCAGAAGGGTCTGCCCCAAAGGGTGAACTGACCTCACCACCCCGACACCAGGGCTTGCCAGGCGGACCCCAGACTTCTTCATGAGGGTCCTTCAGATGCCTTCAGATGCACTGGGTCATGCAGATGCCTTGCTCCCTCCTAAACACCCCTCAGAGCCCCCACCTGTGACCTACATGCCTCATCGGGGGCTCAAGATGGACTGGCTCTGGCCCCCTCTCTGGGGAATACTCGGCACGGGTCGGCCAGTCCCTCTGCCGTGCTTTGCTCACCCGGCACTTCCTTGGACACCCCTGGCCCAGGTTCTGCTGTCTTAGGGCCTCCGCTGCCTTCTCCCTTTCTCCCTGTAACCCCCAAGAGGCTGAATGACCTGTCCATCTCCCGCCCTACAGCTAGCTCCATGGGGGCGGGGCAGGGTCCTCCTGGCCACTGGCCTGGACCCTCAGTGAGCACCCAGAGAGAGAAAGCAGAATTGTCTCCCCTGCCGTGGCACAAAGGCTGGGCCCCGGGTGGGCCTCCTGGGAAAGCTGGCTGCTACCAGCCCCTGCGTAGTGCCTCTGGGACCCAGCCACCCACCTCCGACTTGTCAGGCCAGGGCTGCGGTCAAAGGATACAAGAGTGACGAGGCCTGCTGGAGCAAGCTGATGTCGTCGGCCACAGGGAAGAGTCCGTCATAGTCACGAAGGAACCTGCCAGGTGGACAGCATGTAAGAGGGACAGGGCTGGGCCCGGGGGGGCCGCTGGTCAGCAGTGAGGGGGCCACACTTGTCTCTGCTGCCCGCCCACGGATCCCCGACCCTGAATTCCCAGTGAGCAAAGGATGGGCTCTCAGGGATTCTTGGGGAGCCCCTGAGGGCTCCTCCTTGCGGCCCCCAGCTCGGCCACACTCACCTCTTCTCCTGCAGCAAGGACGAGAAGATCTGTAGGAACTCTTCGATGAAGCTCTGGATACTGTCACAGCTGCAACGGGATGGGGGAGACGCAGCTCACTCACTGCCCGTGACCTGCAGCCTCTCTCCACGCCGGCCCAACTCTGTGTGGCCTCGGGCCAGCGGCAGGAAAGAGGGAGTCTGTTTAGCACCCCCACCTCTGCCCAGCAGGGGAGGGGGTGAAGGCAGTGAGGGAAGCCTCCCAGAGGAGCTCGGGCGATGGCTCCCCAGGGCGCACCTGCTTTCAAGAACCGGAAGAAGGCAGATCTGGTTCATGAGGATGTGGAAAATTTCCAGTAACTTCTTCCTGGAATGGGAGAGCCTCTGCCACAAGTCAGCGAGCAGCCTTAGGGGGTGGAGGGGAGGGAAAGATTAGGGAGCCAAAAAGACCTTGGGGAGGGGGGCTGCTGGGCCCTCTATCCCCAAACACACACACACAGATACATATAGACACACACACACACACATAGACACACAGACACACACACAGACACACATACACAGACACACAGACACATATACAGACACACAGACACACGCAGACACACACAGAAACAGAGACACACAGACACAGAGACACACAGACAGACACAGACATAGACAGACACACAGACACACAGACACACACAGACACACAGACACAGACACATACACATAGACACACACACGCAGACACACACAGAAACAGAGACACACAGACACAGAGACACACAGACAGACACACACATAGACAGACACACAGACACACACAGACACACACAGACACACAGACACAGACCTACACAGACACACAGACACATACACATAGACACACACACGCAGACACACACAGAAACAGAGACACACAGACACAGAGACACACAGACAGACACACACATAGACAGACACACAGACACACAGACACACACAGTCACACAGACACAGACCTACACAGACACACACAGACCTACACAGACACACACAGACACATACACAGACACATAGACACACAGACAGACACACACATAGACAGACAAACAGACACACACACAGACACACATCCACAGACCTACACAGACACACAGAGACATAGACACACACAGAAACATAGAGACACACAGACAGACACACACATAAACAGACGCACGGACACACACATAGACACAGACACCACAGACACACACATAGACACAGACACACAGGCACAGACACACATACACAGCCACACAGACGCACATACACAGACACAGACACACGCACACACGGACACATACAGACACACACAGAAACACAGAGACACACAGACAGAAACACACACATAGACATATAGACACACACATAGATACAGACATACAGACACACACAGACACACACACACAGACACACACATAGACACAGCTACACACAGACACAGCCACACAGATGCACATACAGACACAGACACACGCACACACAGATACATACAGACACACACACATAGACAAACAGACACACACAGACACAGACACACACACAGAAACACATACATACAGACAGACAGACAGACACACACACACACACACACACACACACACACACACACACACACCCCGGGCTGGGGCCAGACCTGTCTCGGTTTAAATAGTGGACTAACTGACAGGAGACAGCGGGCTGGGTGGCCAGAGCCGAAGCAGATGAGGGGGAACAGTTTAGACATTTGGGTCACCAGGGAAGAAGCGGGAGCTGGATGCTGCCCGGTTCGTGGCCCCCACCCCGAGATAAAGACAGGGCAGGGAGGGCCGGGCCGGTGCTGGAGTCTCTCTCTTTCCCTCTCGCCCACGGACCAACCGTAACGTGCTTCGCATTTTGTCCCCCTCCTCACTTGGGGTCTTCGAGCCTCCTCTTCTTAATGGCAGACTCCAGCTCGGGAATCGCTATTTCATAAAAGGAAGCCAGTCTGAGGAGGCACACGGTGAGAGGCGGGGTTAGCTCGCAAACAGCACGCTTCATTAAGAAACGAAAACCCACGGCAAACCCAAGGGAGCGGGGAGGCCCGTTTTCCTTCCTTCCTGCAGGGCTGGGAATCTCAGGAGGAAAGACACGCGCTCCACTGGTCAACCACACCGTCACCTCAGCTTCCTCCCGGGACCAGCCTCGCCCATCTCCAACCCACCCCAGACAGACTTCCCTCCCTGCAACACCCCCACTCCAGTCTGGTCCTGGGAAGCGCCTCAGGGGAGGTGATGGTTCTCCCATTCAGGCGGAAAACCAAGGCTCAGAGGGGCTCGCTGAGCAATGGAGGGACACACAGGACTGAGGTCTCGAGAGACACAATCAAGGGTCCTCCACGACGAAAACCAGCCGGCAGCCCTACCTCCTCCACCATCAGCTCGCATTCCTCTCTCTGGGACAGCCACCACCAACCTGGCAGAACCCAGCTTGTGTCTCATCTCAGCAACCTGCCCACCCCCCACCGACCCAGCTCCAACTCCAACTCTCCACCTCCACACTCTCCACTCCTGCTCACACGGCCAGGACAGTGGTCCCAGCAGCTTATGAGGCGATGGCCTCCCTCCTGCACTGTGGCCCTTCTTCTGTGCATCCTAAGTTTGCCTAAGCCACCAAGGCACCGCGAGGATGCTGCTGAATTTGCAGCAGCCCTGCGTCTGAAAACAGTGCTCTGTCGACTGGCTGCCTGCCGGCAACTGGGATCTTTCTAGCGAGTAGAGTGCTGAGGCAGTGGAGGGGAGTCAGGGCAAAAGAGGCCTTCCGAGGCCCCTGGTGTGGTGCACAGAAGAACACGAGTGAGGGCAGTTTGGTCCAGACAGAGGCAGGAGTTGCCGAGCTGGAGTGGGATGGGAAATGGGAAGGGTGGGCGATTTGGGGAGAGTCATGGATATTAAAGATGCATATGCCATCTGTTCCTGAGATTCGACTTCTAGGAACGTATCCCTCAGACGACGCAAAGGTGCAGAGTAACATGGGCGCAATGTCAGTCTGTTTTTGAGCATACTCAGTGGTGCTCCAGGGTAGGTCCTGGAGCAGTGCTCGGATATCCCTCCCAGATGTGCTGGAGGCAGGGGCTGAAACCAACTCCCGTGTGCAAAGCATGTGCTCCAGCCTTCAGAGTCACCTAGAGGGTCCTGCAAAGTGACGCTTTCTAGCATTTGGAGGTTCGGGTCAGGGTATCTCCCAGGCAACGTTCAAGGGGCTTCAGCTAATCAGGCGAGATGGTCCATTGCTCAGACGATGCTGCTGGGGTTCAGCTGTGTTGGGGGCCACCAGTGCCAACCTGGTAGTGCTGGGGGTGGGACATGGAGTGCCAGAGATGGAACTTGAGTCTCTCACACATAAAACGCATGCTCTGATTCTTTATAGCCTTTTTTTATTTTTGAGGGGGGGTTGTGGAGAGGTGTTGGGCCACACCCGGTGATGCTCAAGGCTCAGGCAATCATATGTGGTTCTGGGAATTGAACCCAGATTGGCTGCATACAAGGCAAGTGTTATTCCCTCTTTACTACTGCTCTGGCCACTTCACAGCCTTTTTTGGGGCGCAATAGTGAACAACTAGAAAAAACCTAACCATCTAACTATGGAGTCTGGAGCCAGAATGATAGTACAGTGGGTAGGGCTTGCACACGGCCCACCTGAGTTCAATCCCTGAAATCCCATATGGTCCCCTGAGTATCACCAGGACTAATTCCTGAGTAGAGAGTCAGGAGTAACCTCTGAGTATAGTTGTATGTGACACAAAATCAAACAAAAACAAAAACAAAAAACAACACACACAAAAAACCATTACTACAGAGTCTGGCATCCCACAGAATAGAACTGAGCAAAGAATGAGGGTGCCTTTTTTTTTTTTAAATTCAGTAATTTAAAAGTCAAATGCAACCGGAAATGTATGCAGCCTGGTAAGTGCTCTGAGGGAAAGCTCATGCCTTGCATGCATGAGACCTGGATTCGATCCCCAATATTGGAAAAAGAAAAGAAAGGGGAAAACAGTAAACAGTACCAATAGTACTTATGATATAGCAGCATTAAATTTTAAAATGGGTGCAGGCAACATAAAGTACATATTTGCTTATAAATGTACATGCGTATCTCTGTAATCGTCCACAAAAAAATCTAAAACAGTGGTCATGTATGAAGAGCAGAAGCAGTGAAGGAGACTTTCCTCTACATAGGAACAAAAGGCTAAGTCTGACATGAGCTCTTGTGATTTTAACTTCCTTTATTGTGGTTGTTTTGGGGTCACATCCAGCACTGATCGGGGGCTACTCCTGAGGGGGGCTGCATGTGGTGTGGGGATGGAGTCCGGGCCTTTCAGCATGCGAAGCAGGAGCTCATGTCCTTGGAGCTCTCTCCCCAGCCAAGACACCATTCCCAGACAAGCCCTTCCTTCTGGGAGAGGTGCGTCTGGGCGCCTTATTCTAACATTCTCCAGAAAGGTGATGAGCCCTCATCTCTGATTTCAAGAGCTGAAGGCCAGGGGCTGGGGTCAGAGCACCAGCTGTCATCTTTGGCACACGTCAGTGCTAGATAAATGTCTTGCTGAATGGGCAAGAAAAAGACCAAACAGACAGAATGCTGGAAGAGACAGGATTAGGGAACTCCCGGAAGGTCCTGCAAAGGGCAGGGAGAGACACCTGACAAAAACTGCAGCCAAAGGACACTGAGAACAGGCGACGAGCAGCCGCCCCCTCACCCCTCAGTCTCACTGCACAAAAAGCCACAAATCCCTTGTGCTCAGGGGACAGAGTGACTCCCGCCAGCCCACATCCTCCTCCATCTTTCTTCACCCCAGCGGCATGTTCCCAAGACTCCTTTTCCATTAAAGCCCCCAGTGGCTCCCTACTGTCGACAGAACAAAGGCCTGTCCCCTGCCAAGACCTCTCTGTCTGACTTCCGCTGACCCCTTTGGGCTCTGTTCCCTGCTGTCCTGGACTCAGTCTCCCAGAACACATGTTGGGCTGACACACTTCCACTCGGCCTGCCTGGAATGCCCGTTATTGCCTCGGTTACCTTTCTCTGGCTGTGAGGTCCTTGCTCATTCTCCCAGACCGCCCGTCAAACCTCCTCTGCTTCTGAGAGACTGTGCCTGCCACCATGCGTTCCCACAGCACTGCCTACACAGTAACAACAGCTGGTCCCGCAGGGGAGCACATCTGCTTGGCTCTCTGTACTAGATTTCCCTTGGACTAGATTCTACATTCCTCAGATCTGCTCTTTTTTCTCTCGTTTTTGTTTTGTGTATGTGTGTGTGTGGCGGGGGAGCACACTTGGTGGTGCGCAGGACTTACTCCTGGCTCTGCACCCAGGGATCACTCCTGGCTGTATCGGGGGACCATAATGAGATGCTGGGGATCGAACCTGAGTCGGCTAGGTATAAGGCAAGCGCCCTACCTGCTATACTATGACTCCGACCCCTTCTCTCTTGCTTCACTGTGCCTGCCCATGAGAGAGGCTCAGGAACAAAACAGAACTGATCTGATACTGCCCTGTTCCGATGGTCGGTTATTATCCCTTTCCCGTTCCCCTATCCTTAGCCCCATGGGAATGCTTCTAAAACACAGGCTCTGGTGTCAGCAGGAGCCTTATCTTCTTCACTGCCCTGTCCTCCCCCAGGCTGGAAGACAGCCCGGCACATTCTCAACACTCCATAAATGTTTGCTGGATGAGTATGTGAGCCCGAGTCTCTACTCCAACAGCCAGAGCTTCCCCTGTACCTGCAACAGAAGTCGTGCTTCTGGAATGTCTGGCAGGCCGACGGGAAGATATCCAGGAAGGCCCAGAGTGTAGTGCAGGTGTCACAAAGGTAGAGAACAACGTCCTTTAATTCCTGTCGCCAGAAGGAAACACTGCGTTATTCTCCCTGGTGCTGACAAAGCTGACCAGCTTTGGGGATGCCTCACGACCTGAGCAAAGCCTGCCCAGTCCATCTCCTGGGGGCCTGGTGGGCCTCCCCAACGCTACCCCACAACCTAGAGGGGTACTTCTAGCTCTAGAAGCACATTTCTTTTTTTTTTTTTTGCTTTTTGGGTCACACCCGGTGATTCACAAGGGTACTCCTGGCTCTGCACTCAGGAATTACTCCTGGTGGTGCTTGGGGGACCATATGGGATGCTGGGAATCGAATCCGGGTCGGCCGTGTGCAAGGCAAACACCCTACTCGCTGTGCTACCACTACAGTCGCAGAAGCACCATTCTTGACAGCGAAAGGAGAACCAACATGAGTCTAAAGACAAGCCCTCCAGTCGGACACAGAATGTACATCCGAGTGAGGACAAATCTATCATATCCACTCCTTTCTTGATGCCCTGGTATTTTGAAAATGTATAGAACCTTCTCATCCACTTGCCTATTTCTCTATGTTTTTGCTTGTATCCTTTTTGGGCCATACCTAGGGGTGCTCAGGGCTTACTCCCAGCTCTGAGCTCAGAGATCACTCCTGGCAGGGCTTGCAGGACCTTATGGGATACAGGGATTGAACTGGGTAAGTGGTATGCAAGGCAAGCACCCCCCCTCCCCGCCCCCCGCCACTGCACTAGTACTCCATACCATTCTTTATTTTTGGTTTCTGGGCTTACTCCTGGCTGTGTGCTCAGGGATGGCTCCTGATGAGCTTCAGACTCAGGGGACAATATGAGGTGTCAGGGATCACACCCAGGTCAGCTGCGTGCAAGGCAAGCACCCTACCCATTGTACTATTGTTCTGGCCACTGTCCTATTTCTCATGCCGATTCTAAAATGTCAGCTGGGCTGATGTTAGGATGTCCAATTTACAGGTAAGAAAACAGGAGTGAAGCAGCTCCTGACTGCCTTGTTACTGCACTACCACCAGCATTGGGCACCAGGCCTGCCAGGTGTGTACACTCCTTAAGCTGATGCAGGAAATACAATCTGTGTTACTGTAGCACATTTGAGAGTGAGCCACCGGTGGTACACGCTGGCATCAATGAGTTCAATACCTTCCTTCTGCCTGCCGGCACCAGTTCCCTGAGAACACAGGCTGGGTTTGCTCTGGCTACAGGCCCAGCACCGGCTTGGCCCATGCGAACAACATTCGAGTAAAATTGCTGAATGAGGTGGCGGATTAAGAGGTCCGCACCCCACAACTTTACCTCTCTGGAATTTGAGTTCCCTGTTCTTCCCACTAGGCCATAAAGAAAAGGGGAAAAATTAAAATAAATAAATAAATAAATTGAAGACCAAGCTGGAGCGATAGCACAGCGGTAGGGCATTTGCCTTGCGCGCAGACAGCCTGGCTGATCCGGGTTCAATTCCTCCGCCCCTCTTGGAGAGCCCGGCAAGCTACCGAGAGTATCTCGCCTACATAGCAAAGCCTGCAAGCTACCCGTGACTATTCGATATGCCACACAGTAACAAGTCTCACGATGGAAATGTTACTGAGCCCGCTCGAGCAAATCGATGAATAACGGAAGTACCGTGACCGTGAAATTGAAGACTGCTAAAATGCCTGCATGTGGGAGGAGCATAGCTGCTTATGGGATAGACTAAGAGCAGGGAAGGGGGCTGCGGGCTCCAAGGAGGCAGGAAGAGGCAGGCCGAGGGCGCGACCTTACCAGGAGAGGCATGTGGCTGGGGGTTACCGGGCCTCTCTCTTCGAGCTTCTGCGGGGTGGCACTGGCCCCATCCCTGTGCAAACCACAGTGCTGGAGGATATTGCTGAAGACCTGCGGATGCAAGAGGAGACCTGTCACAGCCATGGTGTGGACTCCTGTCCGGCAGCCAGAGGGCTAAGCTGACCACTGCCCAGTGCCTTTGGCGAATAAGGTGCCCCTGTTCCCCAGGGGCAGCTGCAGCAATGACCTTCACAGATGGTATGATCTTCATGGAGGGCAGGGTCAGCAGTGGAAGAAGCGGTAAGGTGGGGTTATCGAGTTCCCCTTTTTATGGGACTATGGTAAAGAGGAAGATGACAACCCCCTAAATCCTGCAGATAGAAGCTTGGTGAGTGTATGACAATGAAGACTTAAGGTACACAGGCAGTAATAAAGAGCAGGTTTTGAGGTCTCCTGGAGATGGGGGTATAGGAACAATGGGAATGCCATTAAAACGAAGGCAAATCACCTGTAAGGGGGAATTTAGAGTCTATAGCAAAATCATAGAAGTTTCGTAGCTGACCGGTTAAAACTTCATTGTTAAAGTTTTACCATACTTGGTTACATACTCAGTATGTAACTAGCCTAAAGTTCACCACAGACATGGACTGAAGAGACAGTACAATGGGTTAATCCCGGGCACCACATATGGTCCCCCGAAGTTACCAAGAGTGATCCCTAAGTATAGAGCCAGAAATAAGCTCTGAGCACAACTAGGTGTGGCCCCAAAACGCAACAAGTGAAAATTTACCACGGACATGAATATCTCCTGGTAGTGGGATGACAGGCGGGTACTGGGCCATACCCAGCATGCTCAGGGCTTATACCTGGCTTTGAGCTCAGGGATCAATCCCGACAGTGCTGAGGGGATCACGGTCAGCTACATACAAGGCCAGAGGACCTGCACCCGCACCCCTGTACTGATCTCTCTGGCCCTCTTTCTGCTTTTTGATGCTTTTGTATCCAGAACATTACCCTTTGGTAAAACATTTTTACAAAACTTTCAAGCATTAAGGAGAGAAACAAAGGTCTCACAGGGGGGCTACTATTAGAGGAATGTGGCTATCTAGACCCTCTGGAGTGGGTCTAGAGGCCTGAAGGGGGCTTGGGAATAAACGTTTCCGGATTCTTCCAGGAAGCCAAGGAGCAGCAGGCAAGTACCTGAAGGATGGTGGGCAGGGTTTCATCCAGGTCACTGTAGTAACTTGGCTGTTGGACAAAGATGTTTCCTGAAGAGAGAAGAGAAAGGGAGAGCTGGGAAGCGACGGGAGGTGGAGGGGCTGCCCGTGTGCCCTTTCTCCCCTTTCCGAAGCCTGCCTGACTGTGTTGCGGCAATCCTGACCCCCGGGCCCTGCTGGCACAGAGCTTTGGCCCAGCCAAGAAACTTCCCCAGGGTGAGGGAGGCACCTCTCTCAGTACAATCTAACCTTTTACGGACGCCTGCCTCATGAATTATGTGAAAGATCTGTCCTGGTCAAACCAGCTCGCCCTCGTGTCCCTGCAGAGTGATCACGCCTGGGCACCGTGCCTGGAGTGACGGCACCGGCTCTGCAGTGGGAGTCAGTCACCCAGGAAGACCAGGACATGTGATCTCATAAACCTGCATGTGGTAAGCCCCGGGCTCTGGCCAGGCCACGCCTGCAATAATTCGGGGAGAGCAGGGTGGGGACGGGGGGGACAGACGCTCTGGAAATTCACTGAGCCGTAGGGGGAGTCTTGGGGGCTGGCTCTGAAAATTCTCTGGGCCATGGCTTCTGTCTTCCCTCAAGGTGAGGAGCTCGAGAGGGCCCTCTGGCAGGGTGGCCATTCAGACACACACACATAGATACACACAAATACACACAGACAGACAGACAGACAGACAGACACACACACACACACACACACAACACAGTGGCTGTTCTTAGCAGCCACTGCTTCTCGCTGAGTGTTTACTGGCCTCCTGGGGCGCTGCTGTGAGTGTAAGTTAGAGCATATGGCGAGAGGAACAGAAACCAAGTGTTCCTGCGGCCCAAATGGTGAGGGAGGGTGGCAGGGAGCCTCGAAGCCAGCTGGGGGCACGATGACATTAAATGCCAACACTCTTCTATGGCTGGCTTCTCCTTCCCACTATAATCCCAGCCTCGAGGACTGGCTGATGGTCAGGACGTTCTGAATGCTCACTATCCTCTGGCCCCGGGTCCGCCTGTCCTTGGTTCCCTTTGTGAATCCCCACAACCTTGTCCCCGTCCCCAGAGATCTGAAAAGGAAAGAGATCTGAGGCCAGATGGGTTCGGTGAGGGTGAGTCACTAGCCAGGGGTGCTTTCTGGAATGACATTCCTGGGTGCTACAGAGTTCTTCGAGCCCAGTGGGCTGCATCTCCCCAGCCGCGGCTCGCTCGATGCCTCCCATCTCCAGACGGGTCCTGCTCCCTCAGACCATGGTGGGGCTCTGGTCATCTGCACCCCACTCCTCATCCTGACAGGTAAGGTGCTCCTTCCCGTCCCCCTGGGCTCTTCCTCATAAATAAAGCCTTCCTACTGGCACCATCAAGGTCAAGTACAAACTTTTGCCCATGACACACAGAACCGTGTGCACGTGGCGCCTGCCAGCATCTCCGGCCACCCTTGTCCCTGCATTCCTCCCTCACACCGTCACCAACTTTCCAGAACAAACCCAGCCCCCTTCCCTCTGCCTGGGATTGCCACCCCCAACTCCCCTACTCCCCAAACACCCCAGTTAAGTCCACCATGAGGCAAGAGTTGCCTCTTCTGGGCAGCAATCAGGAGCAGGTCCCCTTGTTCACTCCCAGGGACACTGAGAGGTCCCCACTGTACCCTGACCCCCTGGCATGTTGAGGAGACTGGGAAGACTCTCCCCAGTCTTCCCACTGTCTGTTCATCCAGAAGACACTCTCCCAGCCCTCTGGATGCTGAAGCCGGAGTAACAGGGACGCTGTGTGAGCTTCAGAGATCCCTGCTCACCATCAATGACAGTGATCTGGGACTAGAGCTATAGTACAACAGGGAGGGCGTTTGCCTTGCACGTGGCTGACCCTGGTTCGATCCCCAGCATCCGATATGTTCCCCCAGGCACCTCCAGGAGTAATACTAGCTCCCCTTGCTTGCTTCTTTTCCCTAACAAACTTCTTATACCTGATCTGATTTGTGCAAAAGTTATAATGGGAGAGAAAGTAGCGCAGTCTCTTGCTGTGCCTTTGGTTCAAAGGTTGGAAAGAGGGGCTGGAGCAATAGCACTGCGGGAAGGCTGTTTGCCTTGCACGCAGCCGACCCTGGTTCGATTCCCAGCATCCCATATGGTCCTCCAAGCACCGCCAGGAGTGATTCCTGAGTGCAGAGCCAGGAGTAACCCCTGAGCATCGGCTGGTTGTGACCCAAAAAGCAAAAAAAAAAAAAAAAACAAAAAAAAAACCACACACACAATGAAAGCTAGAGTCAGTGACCCAGGGACCAGCGATAATATTACTTTGTTTGCAGGCAGCCTCAGTTCAATCTCCAGGGCCCCTGGCAGAGTGAGGAGTAAACCCTGAGCACAGTGAGGTATGGCTCACACACACACACACACACACACACACACACACACACACACACACGAGCGACCCCCAAAAATGAGGGGCATTGACAGCCAACAGCATTCTCACCCCTCCCTCACTGCCTGACTTGGACTAGAGCCAGATGTCACCGCCCACTACATCACACAGCTCTCTTGCACCCAGCAGATCTAAGGTGGACCTTGCCTCTGTTCCCAGCCTACTCCCACCACTTCTGAAGGCCCCTTTGCTGCGTAAGATACTGGCTGTGCCAGCACTGTTCAAACGTCTCCCTCCAGATGACTTCACAAAGCGCTGACTGACGCTGCCCAGGGCCTTTCCCTTCAACAGTGCGAACAGGTTCCTGGGTACATACCCATACTGGAAGCACCGGCTGCCTCCATGGTCTCCACGCTCCTGACCCAATGCAGCCAGACCAGTCCACTACCGGCTGGCTCCTCACCCTGCTCTCAGGATCTGATCACAGCGAGAGACCCCACTCCCCAGGGCTGCCTCATGCCAGGCACTCTTCACCCCCTTTCGCAGTCAATGCCTGCAACAATCCTATAAAAGCAGGCAAATCTTTTTTTTTTTTTTCTTCCATCCTTTGGATGAAGCACAGAGTAAGTGACTTGGTCAGAAAAGTACAGCCAAGGAATAGAGTTATGATGTATCAGGCAAGCCAACCCTTTTCTGGGGGTAGGGTGATTTTATTTATTTATTTTGGTTTTGGGGCCGTACCTAGCAGTGCTCAGGTTCACTCCTGGAAGTGCTCAGTGAACTATATATGGAGTGTCGGGAACTGAACCCAGGCCAGCCACATACAAGGCAAACTCCGTACTTAGTGTTCTAGTTCTCTGGAGGATTTTTGGCTTTTTTTGGCCATACCCAGTGGTGCACGGGGATCACTCCTGGAGGTGCTCAGGGGATCATATGGTACAGGGATTGAAACAGGGTTGGCCACATTTAAGGCAAGCACTTTAATCCCTGTACTATATCTCTGCCCATGTATATTTTTTTAACCATCAAAAACTAATGTTTCTGAAGTACAAAAGTGGCCCTCCCTGGTCTGGCCCTTCCTGTCTCCCAGCATTGTCCTCTGGAATGTTCTGCTAGAACAGAACTGTCTGACTAATTGTGCTTGCCTCTGCTTGGTCACCCCAGCCTCTTTGTCTACAGTATAATTATTAAAGGTCTTTCCCTGGGAAAATAAAATAAATCAATGGATAATCAGGCAATAATTAGATCTGAAGGTTGCTGAACTGAAAGGAGTGGATGTGAAATTTCACAGAGAGGATACTCCAAAATGTTCTTCCAAAATGCATAAAGTCTGCGAGGAGATAATTACCAAGGGGTTGTCTCTGGCTGCACGAATTTGCTAATTGCTTTCTGTTTTCTCTTATACTCTTCCAAAATTTTCTAAATTAACATCAATTACCTTTCCTTGTTGGGGGAAAAGAGGAAGGAATGAAGAAACCCTGTTTTTTGTTTGTTTTGGTTCACAGGCATACCTAATAGTGCTTGGGCCTTACTCCTGACTCTGTGCTCAGGTATCACTCCTGGCTGTGCTTGGGGGACCCTAAGCGGTACTGGGGAGTCAGCTGGGGTTGGCAGTGCCTTCCCCTGTACTCTCTCTCCAGCCCTAAAAACCATTTTCAGGGACAACTCAGCTCTGTGACCAGGCATTTAGAAGACTGTGTCCTACATTCTTGGCATGAGAGAATAGCTGACAGTAGCAGTCCCTGGCGAGCCCCTCTTGGGACCTGCTGCCACCAGCTGGGACTCAAAAAGGAAGCATCTGGGGTGCTGTGGCCTCATTAGCATCCCCACAAAACTGCCTCTGGGGGAGCCTGCCTCCGGAGATGCCTTCCATAGCCGGAGTCCTCTCTGAACACCACCCCCAGGAATTCTCAGCACCCATGCAAATCATGGCCTCTGAGGCAGCTCCAGCAGGGAGGGGCCCTGGGTAAGAGACTCAGTTGTGACCTTGCAGGCAAGTCCCCTGGCCCGGTTCTTTACCTGTGATGGACGTCCTAAGAGCCCTCTGCCACAGGCCTGCCATGCAGAGCAATGGGGACAGCGTCCCAGAGACTTCCTCTTTGAGTCCCCGCTCAGAGGAGCACAGGGCCCTTGAGACTGCGCAGATCAAGTGAGCTCCCACCGCTGCTCCGTGGGGGGTGGAGATATACTTCCCCAGGACTTTAAACCACGTGGGGACACCCGGCTTGATACTAACACTCCAAGAGCCCAGAGGAGCTACATGCTCCCATTATTTTCTTCCTTTCCCTCAGTGCCATTCACTCATTTCTTCAGAGTTGATACTCACATAACTGTTAAATTCTTTTCTTTTTTTTTTTTTCTTTTTGGGTCACATCCAGCGATGCTCAGGGGTTACTCTTCGCTTTGCACTCAGGAATTACTCCGGCAGTGCTTGGGGGACCATATGGGATGCTGGGGATTGAACCTGGGTCGGCCGCATGCAAGGCAAACACCCTACATGCTGTACTATTGCTCCGGCCCCTAAATTCTTTATCTTTTTTTTTTCAGGGGTTTGTGGTGGGGTTATAGTATCTGGTGGTATTTGTAGACCATCCACAGGGGAGCATGCAATGTGTGTAATCAAACCCAGGGCGCCACACACGCAAGGCATGTGCTGTACCACTAAGCCACAACCCTGACCTATGTTTTTTTTTTTGGGGGGGGTGGGTTTCTGGGCCATACCCAAAGGGCACTCAGGGGCTACTCCTGCCCGCTGCCATTGCTCCCTGTCATGCGTGGGGGGACTGCAGATGCCTCTCACATGCAGGACCTGTGCTCCAGCCTTTTGAGCGTCCATCCCGGCCCCTCTTAAGTACACTTTAAGCCATGACCATTCATCATCCCCCTGTGCTCCTCAAAATGCTTGCTTTTGGAACCTCCAGTTGGGGATGTGGATGCTCCCAGGCTCATGTCCTACGTACCTATCATCTTCTGGAGGAGTGGCGAGTTGCCTTTTCCAAAGAGCACACAGAGGTCCAGAATCTTTGGGATGTCAAACAGGTAGTTATTGTAGAGGATTTCTCCAAACGCCGAGGGGGAAAAGAAATGATCCTAAGAACAGTGGAGAGCCAGGGTGTCAGAGATCTCCAGAAAGCACTGGCACTGAGAAGTCACAGTAAACGCACAACAAACAGCATTCAACCCCCTCAAGAGAGCACTGCAGGTGTGGCCAGGACACACCTGGGCCTTGGGAACTGACCTGGAGCAATAGCCATTCTTCAGTCTGATAGGAAAAGGAGTAAAAAGCACACCTGGGTTGGGGTTTCACGCTAAAACATTTACAGGTAAATGACCCGAATGTCTGGCATAGTTTTAAAATGCTCTAGAAGGGGACATGGATGTGCTTTAGTAGGGTTGGGTGAGGCCCTGGATTAGATTCCTGCATGGAAAAAGGAAGAAGGAATGCTGAGGTGGGGGGTGGGGGGGGAGGGAGGGAGTGTCTCAGGACAAAAATGAAATGGCAATTGGCAAAACCTTGGTTCAAGCCGGCTGGGGGGTATGTAAGATTCTAGTGACTTAGAAAGATGTTATGAGGAGAGAAAGGGGGGAAATGTGTTCAAGAGCAATAAAGAAACAGACAAGAAAGTGAGATACATGTTCAAGGGATAAAACGGTCTTGAAGAGATGCTGAGAAACAAAATACGAAATCACTGTTTTGTTTTCATATAAATGCACATTTTGGTTTTGGGGTCACACCTGGCTCTGGACTCAGGGACCACTCCCAGTGGGACTCGGGACCATATGAGGTGTGGGGACTGAACCTGGGTCAGTGACATGAAAGGCTGTACTATCCACTACCTCTCCAGGCCCAATATATATTTTGAAAGGAAAAAAGATTTCCCTGAAATAGCAGTGGTTATTAGGAGAGTGGGAGAGGAAATTTTGCGGCTCACTATCTACAGAATATTTCTGTCGGGGCTGGAGAGAGAGCACAGCAGGTAGGGCGCTTGCCTTGCACACAGCTGAATGATCCCCACGCACAGAGTAAGGAGTAAGCCCCAAGCACAAAAAGGTGTGGCCCCAAAACAAAAAAAAATTTCCGTGGAGGTCAGACAGTACACCAAGTAGGGTACGTGCCTTGCTGATCCAGGTTCAATCTCCAGCATCCCATATGGTCCCCCAAGGCCCACCAGGAGTAAGTCCTGGGCACTACTAGGTAAGGCCCCCGATCCAAAGAACAACAAAAATATTTCTGTAATGTTTGGGCCATTTAGAGATAGCCTTTTTCATTTTTTCCAAATGGGAGTGGGGAAACCAGTCAAGGTTTTGAAAGGCACCTACAAGTGCCTTTAGAAAAAAAAAAAATCAGAATCAATGTTTTCACCCTCTGACGCACAAGAAAAGGCCCAGTCATGCGTCACCTGGCAAAAGGCCCTCGGCATTCATTGATGAAAACCTCTGGGTGTAACAAAGACGGGCTGGTGAGTTAGAGGATAAGGGAGGTGGCACAGATTTCTGCCCCAGTGGTGGGAATAAAGGCAGAGGGGAGACAAAGAGGAAACATGATACTTCCAGAACCTTCCTTCCCAGGGGCCTGGGAGTCCAGCGCAGAGGCACTGGGTATCAGGTGGTGACCTGTCACAGGACCCGGGGCTTACTTTGGATTCCTTGTGCGTGGACATGCGGAGGAAGGTGAGAAAAACACTCCGATGGAGGCGCTTCTGCATGTCCACCACCTCGGGGGCCGGGGCCACCCACTCGTCGAACTTCCGGGGGACATAGTGCAGGTAAGAGTCCAGGCACTTCTGCAGCGTCTCGTCGAAGATGACCTGAGCCAAGTGAAAGAGGAGACACAGTATGTCAATGAGGCCGGGGACTCGTGGGGGACACTGCGCAGGGCGGGGCTCGCGGCTCATCAGCCCTGGCCTAGAGCAAACACGCCAACCCGAAAGGACCAAGGAGGTATGAATGAGCCGAGGGCGAAACACAAGTTTTTAAAAATGACATGTTGGAAGGCGTTGTGTAAACATCCTTAAGATTGTGATACAAGACAGAGCAATCCAAACCACAATGTGCTGTTAAGGATCCAGAGTGAGGAGAAGAGGAAAAAAAAAAAAAAGCACCTCCTAGGAGAAGGGAAAACACAACAGCAACCAACCCATGGCATGTCATGTGCTTTGTCTTAGTGTTAATTTTGATAGAATGTTACCTGGCACCAGAATTTATCGTGAGGCAAGGCCAGGAGCCAGTCGAGGTCATTGGCTACGAAGGTGGCGCGTTCCAGGTACTCCTCCACTAGGGCGGGAATGTTGTCTTTAGGGGGCGGTTTGTATAACACAAAATACCGGTCTGCCTTCTGCTCGGGGTGCTACGGATCCAAAAACCACGTGTTAACGTGGCAGAGGTTAGTCAGCGCGGGCCCATCTGCCAACCCACAGCAATGACAACACTCGGCCCGTTCCAACTGGTGACCCTCCAAAGAGCTTTTACGCATAAAGAACCAAGTGTATCTAACAAAGGGGGCTTGGCTGCATCCAGGGCACACTAGGCGGGCATTCAAGCCATGTCTTTTGGGAAGCATATTTAATGACACGGGGAAAGGTTAAGGGAAGCGAAAGCAGGATTTATAACTTCTCTATTGAACAGAACCAGGTTGTGTGTGTGCATGTTTAAGTATAAATTTTTTAACACATTCCCACACCGGTCGAGGTCTGAAAAACAGGAATAGGTGGGGCTTGAGCGATAGTACAGTGGGCAGGGTGTTTGCCTTGCATGCAGCTGACCGGAGTTTGGTCCCTAGCATCCCATACGGTCCTCCAAGCACCACCAGGAGTGATTCCCGAGTGCAGAGCCAGGACCTTGAACATTGCCAGGTGTTTCCCAAAAACAGAACAAAACAACCTCCCTGCACAAAAAAAAAAAGAAAAAAAAAGATGGGGCCAGAGAGACAGTACAGGGGTTAAGGTGCTTGCCTGGCATGCAGCCAACACTGGTTCCATCACTAGCACCGCACATGGTCCCCTGAGTACTGCCAGGAGTGATCCCCTAGCTCTGAGCACCACAGGATGTGACCCCAAAATAAAATGAGGAGGAGAATAACACACTAAACCTAGTAATGGTTATCTCTAGTTGGGGGCAGGGAATTAGTACTTGAATATATTTTTAAATTAAAACACACACACACACACACACGGCTAGAGAGATAATACAGCGGGAAAAGCATTTGTCTTGCATGATGGCAGAACCTGGTTCAATCCCTGGTACTTCATATGGTCCTCTGACTACTGTCAGGAGTGATCCCTAAGTGCAGAGCCAGGAGTAAGCCCTGAGCATAGCTGGGTGTGGCCAAAATACAAAACAAAACAAAACAAAAACAAAAATATAATGAGAGGCTGGATAGTACAGAGGGTAAGGCGCTAGCCTTACTAACCCTGGTTTGAGTCCCCAGCACAGAATATGGCCTCTAGAGCACTGCCAGGAGTCATTCCTGAGCCAGGAGTAGCCCTCAGCTCTGCTAATATGGCCCCCAAACTGGGGTTGGGAAGGGAACACTGAAGAAATGAATGGCCCTTGCCTTGCACGCGGCCAACCTGGGTTCAATCCCTGGCACCCTGACATCCCACTTGGTCCCCTGAGCACTACCAGGAGTGATTCCTGAGTGCAGAGCCAGGAGTAAGCCCTGAACATCACGTGGTGTGAACCATCTTCCTCACTCCCCCTCAAAAAAAAGAAAACCAATGTGTACTGCTTCATAAGCCTTTAAAAGATATATCTATTTGTAACCAGAGCACATTTTCTTTCAGAAACTGGTAATACTCCAGAGAAGGAGAGGGGTCACCAGGGCACTGCCCCAGCCCGCGTCCTTCTAGAGCTCGTCACCCACTCATCATCCTGTGAATGTCCTCAGACCAGCCCCAGGCATTCCTCTGAACGGGTACCCAGAGAAGGCCTCTGCTAGGGTCTGTATGCGGCTTTCTGTATTATACCCTATGTCAGTTTTTGTGATATCTTTTTTATAATCAGGGGGAAAAATCTGTTTTGTTGCTTTCTGCTTTAAAGAACATGATGGCAGATATTAATCAAGTCATCGTGGGTCTCAGCTTAGAATCTCTCCCAACCTTTACCTTGCCAGGAACAAACTGTGCATGGTGGAGGGGAGCCAATGAGCTCAGCTTTCTCCTCTGTCGATTAAGGGCTATTTTCTCCAGGGCAAGTGGTCATGGCAGGAAGGCGGGGCCCATGTCCCAGCACTTAGCAACGGCAGTCCCCTGCAGTTTCACACTTGACCGTCATACGTGAGGGTTTGGGGTGAAGAGGGAATCCTTGAAAAGTACTTGAGAAGGGTTCCCTACTACATCCTGCAAACTTCCAAACCATGGAGTCCTGGGGCCACAGGAACCCTCAGGGACCAGTTACCAGGCAGGCCTCTAAGATCTGCTCCAATTTAAATCAGAACATCTGTCAAGGGGTGCCAAGTACAAATCTTTGGGAAAAGGAATCCTGCTGACCCGAAACAAGTCCTTAAGTAGTGTCGAGGGCTTTTGAGTTCATCTCCCTGACTTCTAAGCTCTGTCCCCAGCCCCCATCTGTTGACAGCTCCTTGCCTAGGTCACTTCTCCCCAGTCTGCTCCAACAAACACAGACACACAAACAGACCCCCCTCTGAGAATCTCCTTCCCAGCAATCTGACATTAAGTGACACTGGACTGGGCCAGAAATGGTGGGGCATGTGAAGAAAAGAGTACTGAGTACTCAGAGCTCACCGAAGAGAAGGAGCACCTTTCAGCCACAAAGTGAGCATAAACCAGAGAAGGAACACTGCCACGCTGGCAGAGGAACTAGTGGAGGGACGGGAGGTGCGAGGGTGGGAGGGCGTGCAGGAAGGGATTAAGTGCACCTGGAGGTGAAGGGGAGCCTCCAAGCTGGGCCTAGCAGGATGGGAAAGCTTTTCAGGTGGCAGAACCAGTTATTTTTATGAAGACCTTAAAAAAAAACCCAATGGGCCCTAAAGAAGGGGCACAGATTGCCCTGGATGGTGGGAGATGGCTCTTGAGGGAGGAGCTGCTGAGATGAGGATAATAGCCAAAGCGTATCAGGCACCTGCCGGGCCCCATTCCCAGGAAGCATCTCCCACAGTCTATTTTTTTCCTTTGCTTTTTGTTTCACATCAGGGGTCACTCCTGCCACCGCACTCAGGAATTACTCCTGGTGGTGCTCAAGGACTATAAGGGATTCCAGAGACTGAGCCCGAGTCAGCTGCGTGCAAGGCAAACGCCCTACCTGCTGTACTATCGCTCCAGCCCCTATACCTTTTCATCTGCATCTACTGGAAAGGGAGAAAGCTCTGCGCACACCCCCGAGCACCACTGCGGGGTAACTCCGGCGCCCCTGCACGGCTGGCAGACAAAACGGAGAGTATTCTCTCTATTTTACAGAGGGGGACACGAAGACAGGCCCAGATTCATCACTCTGCCCAGGCCACAGAGCAAAGGAGGCGACAGAGCAGCAGTGAAGTCACGGTGGACACCACCGACCTCAGGACTGACCTCCCGGGCCCACAAGCCTTCATGGTCTCACTGCTCACCCGCTCACCCTTCTGACCCCAGCTCTGACCTCACCTGTGCCAGGACATCTCCCGACTCCAGTCCCTGCACTGAGCCCCCCCAGCAGCCACACCCCTTCTCCAAATGTCGCCCATCTTCTTAAACTGTCTCCCTGCAAAGCCTTCGGCTCCGCGACTGCTCTGGAGGGGGAGAGGAAGGACTGGATTCAAGAAGAACCCACAAACACTGTGCTGGGGAGAAAGAATGTTCATTATCTTGACTATGGGATGGTTTTGCGGGCGTATGCGAATGCCAAAATCAACTGTACACTTTAAACACATGCAAGTTAGCATCCTTCCGGGATACCACCGAGAATTATACACAAAGGCTGGGCCTGCCTATCACCCCACCTATTGGCCTAAAGCTCTCTGGAGGCCATCTGGGCCCTGCTCTCCCTTTCCCAGTACCTGCATCCAGCAGTCTCTGCACACATTAGCTGGCTGGACAGAGGAATGAATGAAGACAGTGCTGCCAGATACTGCCAAGGTCTCTGAAGGGCCTTGAATATAAGTTCCAGAGTGGGGACTGGATCCCCTGAAACCTGGGGGACGTGGAGGATTTCTAGGCCGAAGCAGACTCAGGCAACATCATTTCCTCTTCAAACCTGGCGTCGATCACAATGACTATGTGAAGCTTCTGGAATATTCTCTGCCTGCCAATCATCAGTTCTATTTATTCTTAATAAGAGGCCATTTTTATGCTTTCATTCCTGGCACCGCCAAAACTAAACTTCATTGAAAAGTTAAAGAGCCATTTTGCACAGTCCTCCTAATGCTCCATTTAAAAGACTCTCGTCTTCCTCAACGGCTCATTCACCGGTCCTGGCGCGAGACTTTATTTCTTTTGGCTCTTCAGTAGCAAACGCTAATACACAGTGTCCACCCAACACTGTGCAGAAGGGACATGGTGGTTGCCCCCTGGGTGGAGATCTGCCTGTCCTGGGCTGGAGCGACCGAGACTAAGAGAGGGCAGGTACATCTCTCAGGATGCTTTCGGGAGCGTCAGATGGCCTGCAGGGTAGCGCTCCAGACTGGCCAACAGGAGCATTCCTAGGGCCAGGAGGGCTCAACGCTGACGCGCATGTACTGTCTGCAGGAAGCCTGGTCCCCAGCGCAGAGCCAGAAGTAGCCCCGGAGCACATCTGGGTGTGCCCCCAAACTAAAACCAAACAAACCAAGAGTGACCGCTCCTTGGTCAGGCAGCAGTCTCCCTCAGCTCATCCCTCTTCCTGTGCTGCTCCCCATTTCACGTTCCTGACTCTGTCTTCTGGTTGTACTCTCATTCTCCAGTCCTCGCGACCATGCCACAAAGCTGTGTCTATTATTAACCCTTTGGAACTCCTGAGGCTTAAAGGTTAAGTAACTTGCCCAAATTATTAAAAAAAAAAAAAAAGGGGGAGTGGAGGAGGGAAGAATTGTTTTAGGGGCCTGGTGGCACTCAGCAAGTATCAATCCTGGTGGCACTCAGGGAAGCCATGGGTGGTCCCAGGGATCTGAACCACAGTCAGCCATGTGCAAGGCAAGTGTCTAAACCCCTGTACTATCTATCTCTCTGATCCTCAAAATGTAAGAGTTCTCTTTTTTTTTTTTCTGGGTCATACCGAGAGATTCTTAGGGGTTCCTCCTGGCTCTGCACTCAGGAATTCTCCTGGTGATACTCGGGGGACCATATGGGATGCTGGGGATCAAACCTGGGTCGGCTGCATGCAAGGCAAATGCCCGACCCACCGTACTATCGCTCCAGCCTCAAAATGTAAGATTTAATGTACAGCCCAAGCTCCTGAACTCTGATACTGCTTTCACTCCCAGTAACTGGGGGGAGAGGTAATGGGTAGATTTTCTCAAAACTCCAGGGTAGGGCTGGGGAAATGGTTCAATGGACTAGGTTTGTAAGCAGGAGGCCCAAGTTTGCTCCCTGGAGCCACGTGGTTGCCTAAGCTCTGCAGAGGCAACATGCCCCAGCCCCCATCATCACCCCATCATACCCTTCAGCACCTCGCCAGGAATAGCCCCCAAAGCCCCACTGGGTGTGACCCAAACCCAAGCCAAAACAACTCCAGGATGGCCTTTCAGTGCCAGGTCCATTCCTTGCCCCTGTTCTGCAACCTAGCACTGTTCCTTTAGCCTCAGTGCAGGGCTCCCTTCCTAGCCACACCTCCCCCAGGAGTGTGAGTCAGTGTTCTCTTTTTTTCCTTTTTGGATCACACCTGGCAAAACATAGGGGTTACTCCAGGCTCTGCGCTCAGGAATTACTCCTGTGCGGTGCTTGGGGGAACATCTGGGATGCTGGGAATCGAACCCGGGTTGGCCGCGTGCAAGACAAACATCCTTCCTGCTGTGCTATCGCTACAGCCCCGAGTCAGTATTCTTGGGCAGCCCAAACCTCCTGCTCTCATGGCACTGACCACTCTGTAGAGAAGCTACAGGCCAGGCTGAGGGCCCCTCAAGGGCAGGAGCACGGTCTTTTCTCTTTGTGGCTCCAGTCCTGCAAAAAACCAGGCGGGGGTCCTTGATCCCTCTACTGGATGTTTGCAGAGAGCTTGCTAGGGCTGCCCTGGGAATGAGTGAGGGGAAAGGGCTGGGTCCCTTCATAGAGCCCCACAGACTGGAAACCCAGGTGCCCAGTGTCGGGGAAGGACTGCAGTGGAAGATCTTCACCTGCTCATGAAGCAGGTTCTGGCACAAGCCAACAGAACTTTTTGCAATAGAACTGATCTTTTCCTGTGCTGGCAATTCATCAAGGCACTCACCCCATGGGGTTCGTTTAAAAACAATTTTGGGGGAGGTGCCATAAGTACCATCAGTGATATTTAGGGACTACTCCTAGCTCTGTGCTCAGCAATCATTTCTGGAGGTGCTTGGGGGACTATATGTGGTGTTGGGGATAAAACCCAGGTCAGCTGCGTGCAAGGCAAGAACCTTACCACTGTACTACATCTCTGGTTCCTTTTTGTTTGTTTTTCCCGGCGGTGCTCAGGGATCACTTCTGGTGGTGCTTGGGGACCACAAGTGGTATCAGAGATAGAACGGGAGTCAGTCTTATGCAAGGCAAAAACCTTAACCCCTGTAATATCTTTCTGTCCTTATTTTAATTTTGGTTTTTGGTGCCACACTCAGTGTTCAGGGACTACTCCTAGCTCTGTGATCATGGGTTACTCCTGGAGGTGCTTAGGGAACCGTATGTAGTGTGGGGGATCAAACTGGGATGGGCTGCATGCAAGACAAATGCCTTAACCCTTGTATTATCTGTCCGGCAGGTCATCTGAATTTAAAATCATTATAAAAAAAAATGGGCTGGAGCGATAGCACAGCAGTAGGGCGTTTGCCTTACAAGCGGCCAACATGGCTGACCCGAGTTCAATTCCTCTGCCCCTCTCGGAGAGCCCGGCAAGCTACCGAGAGTATCTCGCCTGCACGGCAGAGCCTGGCAAGCTACCCGTGACGTATTCGATATACCAAACACAGTAACAACAAGTCTCATGATGGAGACGCTACTGGGCCCGCTCGAGCAAATCGATGAACAACGGGAAGACCATGACCATGACCGTGATAAAAAAAAAAAATTAACCAAAAAAAAACCAGTTCTTTGGTTTAGTTCTGTTGCTTAGGACTTACTTCTGGTTCTGAGATTCTGAGGGGGTTCGGGGGAACCATATGGCTGCTGCGGATTGAACCTGGGTCAACTGTGTCCAAGGCAAGCACCCTCCCCACTGTGCTAATGTTCCAGCCCCCAGTTCTTTAGTTGCACCATTCACATCGAAAGTGCTCAATTGCTACTTGTGGCAAATGTCTACCACTGGGTGGTAATTGTAAGTTTAATTCTTCATAATCTGATAAACATCCTTCATGTGTAAAAAGGCTACAAAAAAGAAAAGAGAGGCTTTAGCGCAAACCTGAAGGTTAGGTTTGGAGGGGGTACAGGCTCTAGGGGCAACCTTGAATGGGATTCAATCCTTGAACCCAACACAATTCCTCATTCTGAAACCTCAAACTTTCACGTTTCCTCATCTGTAAAATGGGGACAACCAAAAAAACCTCAGGGCTGTGCTAAGGCTTATAGAAGATAATCCGGATGCAGAGTTCTGAAAGGGTTGGCCCCGTGCAAGCGCTCTATAAAAGTTAAGCACTATTATTAGGAAGGAACTAATAGGAAGCCATCCAAAAAACAGGAAATTAAACACCAAGCTCTCTTTTCCCATGACTTTACTCGAACCCCCAGCAAATACTTCCTCCCACCATGTTCTGGTAAGCTCATATTCTTGGGAAAATAGTTCCGGGGACTCCAGGCCCCATGTCTGTCGCCTTTGTCAGCAGCCTGGCACCTCTCGGCAGCTCTAATTTCTCCCTGCAGCTGGCACCCAGCACGATCACTGTCTCCTTATTTGTCAATCTCACCAGCCCTGCCGAGTCGGTCCGTGGCCCTTCTTAGCCGGCTGAGACAAAAGACGGGCCAACCTCTGAAATCAGTGTCCCCAGAGAAGTTTGGGTCATGGCATAGATAGCTCTGCAAAAGGCCTGCCTGAAACCCGAACCAACCGCCACAGGGTCAGATCCCCAAACCCAGCTTCAGGCTTGGATCCATTTCCAGGCCAGCTCAGGCTGAGTCACCACTGCCATCAGGCTCTGATTCCAAATTAAACGCTTAGTGGGGGGATGGAGTGGGGGGGAGGGAGAGGTGCGGGGCAGTGACATGGGAACTGCAGCTCAGATTCAAGCTGATGCACTGGCCCTGGAGGACCAAGCAGTCTGGTCTCCGAAGAGTGGCCCTCAGGGTCAGCCTTGGAATAGATAAAGGAGGAATTTACTTTGGCTTCTGAAATTTCAAGAGCTACCAGGCTGAACGGCCTCAAGGCACCAGCTCACCAGCGCAGGCGAAGTCCTCAGCTTTCCTGTCTTCAGGTCCTTGCGGGTGATCTGGAGTTGATCCAGGGGCAGAGCTGGCATTGTGCTGCGTGAGCCTCCTGAAAGGAATATGGATGGGAAGAAGAGAGCAGACACAGAGGCTCCTGGGGGAAGCTAGCCTCCTTGCGGGGGCTAGTCCCTGGATTTTCAACCAAGAGAGACACATTCCCCAGGTGCCTCTGCAAATCCCACCACCGATGAGAAGAAGTTCTGGCTAAAAGCACCTCAGTGGTCCTTCTGGCTCCGGCACTTGGTCCTCCTTGACCAGTGAGCTCTGAGAACACAGCGCCCGAGTTCTCCTCCATCTCTTGCGGCCTCTCCAGGAAACTACGCGGGCCACTCCGTCAAATGATTATCTGAGCATGAAGATTCTCCTTATAACTTTAACCAGATTTAAGTCTTTTGAAGTCTGGAGCCAGCAGTGTAGTTCCACGCTAGGAGATGCTATTCACATTTCACAACCCCACTTCATCCCACCCTGACTGCCTAGGTTTCTGGAAAAGACCTGTATGAACAGAGGGACCAGGGAGGAAGCTAGAATTTGTTGAAACCTGCCAGGGCAATCTCCTTTTTTTTATTCACAATATGCACACTATGGCACAATATGCACACTCATAGTCTCTTGTGTTCCCCACTTATACTCTTCAAAATATCACCTGGTTTGAGTCCTAGGGCCAATGCGTGGGTTGACTGAATCATGGAACCCGTGGGTTAGGTCTCTTAAAAGAACATGCCATTAAAATAAATTAAATAAAAGCCAGACCTCAAACAAACCCAAACTTTCTCTTTCTTTTTTTGCTTTTTGGGTCACACCCAACGATGCACAGGGGTTACTCCTGGCTCTGCCCTCAGGAGTTACTCCTGGCGGTGCTCAGGGGACCATATGGGATGCTGGGAATCGAACCTGGGTCGGCTGCGTGCAAGGCAAATGCCCTACCCACTGTGCTATCGCTGCAGCCCCCAAACTCAAACTTAAAGAAAAGAAAAAAGCCACCACTATCTTGAGAAGATCAAGGCTCAAAAGAGGAAACTTTCACTTCCTGAGCTCTCACAGTGAACCCAAGAAGCATAGTCATCAGTGAGTTACATAGGGATATTTGGGTGTTCAGGAAGGCTCTAGAGATAAGAAGACAGGCTGATAAGGCAGGGCTCTGCCTGGGAGAACTAAGAATAGCAATGCCCACAGCAGTGAGAGCTACAGGCTGGTCATGTGCTGGTGTTCTTAGAAGGTGCTTTTTTCAGCTTACTCACTTTACATTTGTTCTTTTCTTGAGGAGGGAGGGGGGTGCTGTTCCCAAGTAGTGCTCAGGGAGCCATTCCCAGTGACAGTCAACCAGGCCAGTGGTTTAATGCAGGAACCTGAGAGTGTGTTGCTGCTTGGGTTCTAGGGTGCTGTGTATCCCCAGGACCGGGCACCCCCCGCCAGCCAAGGGAAATTCAGGGATTCCTGGGCCATACCAGTGCTACTTGGGAGCTCCCAGAGCTTTATCAGCAATGTTCAGGAAGTCATATCATGGGAGGAATGGAACCCAGGTCAGCACACACAACCCAAAGCCCTGTATTAGCATCCCAGCCCTACCCTCACTAACTCTTTGTTCATTTTACAAGTATTAGTGCTGCTAAGGTTGGTTCTATTAAATTCATTGTCTGAGAAAGCAGAGACTCAGAGAAGATGAGGAAGCCAGTATAGGTTTCATAGGAGTTGCTGAAGCAGACTGGTTCTTTTTTTTTTTTTTGGCTTTTTGAGTCATACCCAGTGATGCTCAGGGGTTACTCCTGGCTCTGCACTCAGAAATCACTCCTGGCGGTGCTTGGGGCACAATATGGGATGCCAGGATCGAACCTGGGTCAATCGTGTGCAAGGCATATGTCTTACCCACTTAACCACTAAGTCTAGGGTAGTGGAAATTGAGAAGGATGTGTCAGAAAAACATATTCCAGAAGCAAGTCGGAAGGATCAGGAGAAACAGACTTGAGTCTCGAGAATAGAGAATGGCCAGGGAAGAAGCCCACGTGGAGGAAACAGCAGGAGCAAAGGTGAGGAAGTGAGAAGCAGGTTGCTAAGCCAGGAAGCTCGAAGTATGGAGTGTTTTAAAGATTGTGAGGCTCCATCCTAAAGAGGGAGGTGAAGGGAGAAAGAACTGGTCTGACTGGTCTTGTGCGAGCGCTAGGATTTCAGTGGACCAGAGACATGGGCCCCGCACACAAGGGGCCTGGAAAAAAAAATCACAAGAAGAAATACCGAAGGGCAAAATTTTAATTTTTCAACTTTGCCAAACGTAGTTAACATTCTCCACTGTGTGCACCCCAAATTCTAATCAGATGATATCTCACGAGGCCCAATTACGCATGACAAGGAGTATCATGCGCAGCTGTCCAAAGAGGGCCCTGATTCGCCGAAGGTAAATACACGAGCGGCCAAGTCGAAAACTGAAGCCCAGCTCTTCTGTCTTGGCACCTGAGGCTCTGGTGCTGAACAGGCTAAAAATACTTCCCTCTAACCCCCCAGCAACGCTGGTGGCTGGAAACATCAGAGGTCTGAATGTTAGCACCAGAGTTGGAGTGAGTCATAGGCCCAGTTCTTTCCATGCTCACCTTCCAATGACAGTAGGGGGAGTGGTGGTGTAGAGACTGGGAGGGTTAGAAGGAAGCGGTGAAGAGATAAAGCAGTGGGTTGCAGGCTTTGCATGTAGGTGCCCTGGGTTCCATCCCCCGCACCACTGAAGCCCAGCTTTTCTTTTTTTGGCTTTTTGGGTCACACCAGGAGATGCTCAGGGCTTACTCCTGGCTTTGCACTCGGGAATTACTCCTGGCGGTGCTTGGGGGACCATTGGGGATGCTGGCAATCGAACCCGGGTCAGCCGTGCGCAAGGCAAACAAACGCCCTACCCGCTGTACTATGGCTCCAGCCCCCAGCCCAGCTCTTCTTGAGAGTAGAAAGCATGCTGCCAGGTGCCCAACTGCTGCCAAGAGTGGCCCCTGAGTATTGATGGGTGTGCACCAAAACCCAAAAGGGAAAAAAGGAGGAGGAGGAGATGATTCTCCACCCTTTAAATTCTAGGCCCCAGAGAACAGGCCTAGACAGGAAGGGATGGAATCGGCTTTCTGAAGAAAAGCTACTGTGGCAAGCCCGAGCCTGTAAGTCAATTCAGACCCAGGCTAGTGTGTAGCTGAAGGTTCTACAGTTCTGCAGCCTGGGTTCAAATCCCACACTTTACCTTTTCCTGTCCATGCTGGGACCCTGAGACAGTTCCTAGACCTCTCTAATCTTGATTTCCTTATCTGTATAATCAGAGTGACAACATAATCTCTCGGGGCTGCTGTGAGAAATAATCAACACTCAGATTTCTTAGCACATAATAAGCATTCATTAAAGTGAACTTATTATTATTCAAGTCCCAGTCACAGGCAGAGCACTGTAGGCTTCATCGTTTACTCAGCAAACACTGGCTTGGCATGTAAAGTGAGTATCATTTGGTTTAGTTAGAACTACAGCAAGAAATTTCCAAAACGGGAGCAGAGTGGACAAAGTGTCATTGAGCAGGTGACCTATAATGACCTTAGAGTCGGAAGATAAAAAGGACATTTTAGGCAGAGAGAAAGCCTAAGCGAAGAAACAGAGTTCTGATAGAAGAGGAAGACATTTAGTATCATTAAAAACATAAGTTGGGAACGAAGAGCTAGCACAGAGGTTAAAATGTATGACCTGCACGTGACTAACGCCATGTAATCCCTGGCACCATATACGGCCCCCGAGCACCATCAGGAGTGACGCCTGAGCACACTCAGGAGTAGCTTCTGAGCACTGCTGGATGTGGCCCAAACACTGACACCCCACCCGCCCCCCAAATAACAAAACCTCAATCAGAAAAACTCACAAAGTTCAGGGAAGAGATGACAAATAAGGACAAAAAACATTGGAGAGCAAATTTGGTGCCAGATTAGAAAATGTCTTGAGGTTTGGGATGTGGCTCAGTGGTATAGTACATGCCTCACCCGGTGTTCCATGCCTGGAACCATACACACACACACACACACACACACACACACACACACACACACACACACCCCTCTCCATAATCAGGGGTTAGTACAAGGATTAAGGCATTTGCCTTGCAGGCAGCCAACTCCAGTTCAATCCTCAGCACCACATATGAGCTCTCAGCTCCATATTTAGTCCTTCATGCACTTCCAGGAGTGAGCTTTAAGCACAAAACCAAACATAAGCCCTGGCACACCAGGTGCTGCCCCTAGAACAACAAAAATGATCATCAGTGCCGAATAGATAGTATAGGGGAGGACGTGCTAGCCTTGCCTGTGGCTGAACTTGGCTCGATTTCCTCAGCACCATAAATGGTCCCCTCAGCACCTCTAGGAGTGATCTCTGAGCTCAGAGGCAGGAATAAACCCTGAACACTGCTGGGTATTGCTGTGCCCCAAATATATATTTAGCCTCAAATGTCATGTTGAAGATTTTGGCCTTTGGTCTTTCATTAGAAGGCAGTGAGGGGTCATTTAAGTAAAGGAGAGACATAATTAGAGAAAGACTAATCTGAAAGCAGGAATGACCTCCTGTGAATCACTGGAGAGCAGAGATTGTTAATCTCATTCCTCCGTTTAAACCATTTTTTAACTGATTGAGATTCTGTAGTTTACAACACTATTAATATGGTTCCTCATGCGCATGACTCCAGCACCACACCCATTAAGATCTTCAACATAACAGGCAACAAAACCTGAAGAATTCTAAGGAAGGCAAATAGCAGGTGTGGTCCTGTGCCCAGAGCTTACACTCTTTATGGAAAACATAGCAAGGCAAGAAATAACTATATGAACAAGTAAAAAATGTAATGGAGACAGGGCGATAGCTTGAAGGGGTGAGTATGTATGTTGCATGCAAGAGGTCCAGTTTCCATCCCTGGGACCACGTGGTTCCCCAAGCACGTAGCCCATGAAGAGCACTGGGAATGGCTCCCAAACCAAAAATAAACAAATGCTAGGATGTATGCTGTGACAGCAAAGCCCCTGGGGGCTATGACAGTAGTGAACGGAAAGCACTGACTAGGCTGTCAAGGAAGATATGAGTGTTCAATTCAAGTCTGGGTACCATGAACTAGACAAAGTAGACTCTAAATTCCAAAAGGATAAAGACAATGATGATGATGATGGTGGTGGTGGTGGTGGTGACGTCTGCACCCTGCACTGCATCTCCAGTGCTAGGCAGGGCAGCTGCAATCAAATGTCAGGGAAAGGTTTTATTTCTTGTTTTCATTAGCGATGTATTTATTTTGTGATGCGGGGCTGGAATCCAGTGCTTCACACATAACAGGGCGGCGCTCTCCCGCCGAGCTACTTCCGGGTCCTGAAAGGGCTTTTCTTTAGAAGGGGCGCAAGGTGCCAGCACCCACAACAGCAGGTCTGGTCTCACCCTATTTCTTTCAGCTCAGCCTCACTCTCCTCAAAGGCCTTCCCTCGGGAAAGCGTTCGCCCCTCTCACAGGAAAGCTCCTGTCCCGTCTGTCTCTAACCCTTTGCTGCATGTCCTTCTCGCGGGCTTTCTCCTCCCACTAGCCGGCCAACTCCGTGAGGTCCCGCGTCTCATGGTCTTGCTCGGTGGGGATCCCCTTGCCTACTTCTGAGCTGGCTCGTAGGAGGCGCTAGACAACGAATGAATGAACCGTGCAAGGATCAAAGGAGAAGGCAAAACCCGGGCGCGGGGACCGTGACTCGGCCAAGGGCACGCGGGGCCGAGCCTCCGAGACCCCAGGCTCCCCGGGTCGGCATCGCGGCTCCCCGGGCGGCGACGCGGGCCCCCCGGGTGGCGTGAGCGGCGGTCCTGCCTCCGCGGCGGCGAGGTCCGAGGCCGCCGGAGACACGGCTGCGGCTCCTCCCAGCCCCGTGGCCCACCTGTGGCGGGGCCCGGCCACGCACTCACCTCGGCGGCTCCGCTCCCGGCGCCGCGCCGCCGCCGTCCGCGGTGACAGCTCCCCGGGCGCCAGCGCTTCCGGGGTCAAACAGCGATTCCGCACGCGCAGACAGGAAGCCTGGGTCCGGCTCCGCCCCCGCGGCAACCGCCTCCGAGGCGGGCCGGGGCCACGCCCCTCGCCAAGACCCCGCCTCCCCGAGGAACCGCCCTTCCGTAGCCCCGCCCCGTCCCCGCCCACCTCGCTGTCTGCTTCAGGGAAGAGCACGTTGAAGGCCCCCCCCCTACTCAAAGGGAGGATGTGATTCCTCCTCTTGGAAAACTCCAGGATGATGCTAGGATTCTTAAAATCCCAGGCTTCCACCTTCCCAAGTTCTGCATCGTCTTACAAACTAAAGGAGAGTGAGAACAAAAGGGAACGCCCTGCCACAGAGGCAGGGTGGGATGGGGGGCATGGGGGGGTGGGAGGGATACTGGGATTAATGGTGGTGGAGAATGGGCTCTGGTGGAGGGATGGGTACTCGATCGTTGTATAACTGAAACCCAAGCACAAAAATTTGTAAGTCTACAACTGTACCTCATGGTGTTTCACTAATAAAAATTTTTTAAAAAGAGTAGTTTTAAAAAGTCAAAAACAAAAATGATGATACAGGTGGAAAGAAAGCAGAGGAAGCCATACACACTGCAATTTACAGGAAATTCTAGAAAAGGCAAAGCTAAAGAAAGAGGAAAGGGATTAAAATGACAGTAACATGGGGGGCTGGTGACTGCGTAGAGGAGGTGCCAATGAGGCAGAGAACTTCTCTTTATCTTCCGCGGTAGTTACATAGATGTTTCACATAGTCAAACTTTACACGGTTGTGTATGCCAGTGTAATCTGTACACCAATACAATAGGGGGGGGGATTTCTTTAAAGATCAAAGAAAGGCACTTTCTTGCCTAGTGTGAGTGAGGCTCTGGGTGTAATCTCCAGCATTGAAAGCATGCATGCACACCCCCCCCGCCCCCTCACACACACCTCCCACCCCTAGAAGACTACGTACATCTATCCACAGATTGTCTCAGGTTACATAGAGTTAGTGTTCCCAAACCTATGCATTAGTGTCATCACAGAAGGCTAGTTAAAAATACATATCCTGTGGACCAGAGCGATAGTACAGCTAGAACAGTGTGTAAGGCACTTTTACCTTGCACATTGCTAATGCGCCCAACCCAGGTTCAATTCCCAGCATCCCATAATGTTGCGCCATCACATCATGAGCAATTCCTGAGCGCAGAGCCAGAAATAACCCCTGAGCATTGCCAGGTGTGGACTAAAAACAAAATTTATTCTGAGACGGAGAGATAGCATGGGGGTAAGGCACTTGTCTCACATTTGGCCAACCCAGGTTTGCTCCCCAATACCCATGAAGACCTCCAGAGCATCGCCATGAGTGATCTCTGAGCACAGAGCCAGGAGTAAGCATTAAACACAGCTGGCTATGATCCCTTCTCCCCCAAATACACAAAGCACATCCCTGACTTCATCTCAAAGCCTGGCACACCGTTAGGATCTACAAGGATAATCATGGGGGCTGGAGCAGCAATAGTATAGCAAGTAGGGTGCTTGCTTTGCATGTAGCTGATCCAGGTTCAATCTCCAGCACCAAATATGATTCCCCCAAGTTTCATTAGGAGTGATCCCTGAACACAGAGCCAGTAGTAAACCCTGAACACCACCGACTGTGCCTCCCCCGAACCAAAAAAGGGAATTACAGTGAAAGCCCCAGTAGATTTCACAACTCAATTCGGAGGATCATGAGACAGTATCCAACACTCTCCTCGTGCAGGTGGTAGTGTCCATACTGCCACTACAGGGAATGACAAACACAGTGTCTGTCCACAAGGAGTTAACAATGCAGGGGGCAACAAGAAAACCAGTGATTCTGGAGCAATATTATAAATGTGAGATACTGAAACAGTGAAGGAGAGGGACCCTGACTCAGAAATGCAGAATGGGGGACACGGAGAGATAATACAGGGTGTAGGTACTTGTTTTGCACACAAACCCTTTCAGTCCCTTGAATTACATGTAATCTCCTGAGCACAGCTAGGAGTGATCCTTGAGTACAGAGCCAGGAATAAGCCCTGAGCAGTGCTGGATGGCCCCCCTCCAAAAAATTGGTGTGGGAGGAATTGGATATGATATCGCTACCTAGAAAATTATTTTACTATGTATTGAGAAATGTACACTGGTGGAGGAATGGGGGTTGGAACGTTGTCTGACTGAAACTCAATCCTGAAAGCTTTGTAACTATCTCATGATGATTCAATAAACATTTAAAAATATTTATTAAAGAAAATTACCTTACAAACAACACACATTAATTTGCTCACATTTTCTATCCTCTAGGAATAGAAATTTGGGCACAGATTAGTCCGTTCCTCTCTAAAAGGATCTGCCACAAGACTGCAATCCACGATGTCAGCCAGGGCTGGATTCTCATTTGAAGGTTCATGTGAAGAAAGGATCTGCTTCCAAGCTCTTGTAGCTCTCGGACCAATTCAATTTCTTGTTGGAATGAAGACCTAGCTCCTAACTAGATTTGGCCAGAAGCTGACTTCGATTTCTTGCCATATGGACTTCTCCACTGTGGCAGATTGATAGACACACATTAATCAACTAACAAGACAATTTGTGTATCTCATAATTATAAAAGTGGCATCTTCTCACCTTTGTTGTCTTCTAGTTGGTGATTTTTGGTTTTTGGTTTCTGGGGCTAGGGGAGTAGATTTGGGTCATACCTAGGATTATTTCTGGCTGGGCACTCAGGAATCCTGTTGGCGGTGGGGGTACCTTATTCAGGGGATTGAACTGAGGTCGACTGCATGCAAAACAGGCGCTTGAACCGCTGTGTTCTCTCCAACCCCTGTCATGTTTTATTTCTTTGTTTGTTAGTGAAAAAAATCATAACTCTACTCATATACATGGACAAGATATTACACAGCACATGATACCAGGAGGTGGGATGGATTCCCTGGGACCCCAGAGTCTGCCTGCCTTAGATACCAAGAGCACACACGTAACCTAGGTCTGCAGAGATACAGAGGAGTAAAACCCAGTCATGATTATATATTCCACATTTGTCAGATTTCACATGATCCCAGGCACTATGCTAAATAATTAGCTCTGTGACTCATATAAGAGCTGTAAGGGCTGAGGCAATGGCCTCAAGGGCATGTTTTGCATATGTGGGAATCCTGGGCTCAGTCTCCAGCACTATTTGGTCCCCTGAGTGTGGACTCTCCAGCACTATTTGGTCCCTGTGCTGCGTGTGAACTCTCCCTTAGCCCCAAAGGATCCAGGGCCTGGGATATAGCTCAGTGGTACAGCACCAACTCCCCTTGTAGGTTTGAAGCCATGGGTTTGAACCCTGGTGCTATAAAAAAGAGAAAAGACAAGTAACTTCTCCAACCATGTTTCAGATTCTGCAGCTGTTAAAATGCACTTCAACATTCTTAGGAGACCAAATGATAGTATAAATCATGCCAAATATGAAATAAATGCTCAAGAAATCTGGATGAAGGTCAAAGAGATAGTGGGCTGAGCATATGCTTTGCATGCTGGAAGCTCAGGTTCAGTCACTGACACCACACAGACACCTGAGCACTACCGGCAGACAGAAACAAAAAAATAAATAAAGAGGACCAGAGCAACAGTACAGCAGGTAATGCTCTGATCTTATTCATGGCAACCTGGATTTGATCACCAGAACTGCGTAGGATCCCCTGAATACCACAAGGAGTGTTTCCTAAGCAGAACACCATGGGGTATGACCCAAAAACAGAAAGCAAGCAAGCAAGCAAGCAAGCAAGCAAGCAAGAAAGAAAGAAAGAAAGAAAGAAAGAAAGAAAGAAAGAGAGAGAAAGAAAGAGAGAAAAAAAGAGAGAAAGAAATAAAGGAGGAAGAGAGAGGGGGAAAGGGAGGAGGAAGGAAGAAAAAGGAAGGAAGAAAGGAAGAAAAGAAGGGAGGAAGGGAGGGAGGCAGGAAGGAGGGAAGGAAGGAAGGAAGGAAGGAAGGAAGGAAGGAAGGAAAGAGGGAGGGAGGGAGAGAGAGAAGGAAGGAAGGAAGGAAGGAAGGAAGGAAGGAAGGAAGGAAGGAAGAAGCAAGGAAGGAAGCAAGGGAGGAAGGGAGGAAGGGAAGAAGGGAGGGAGGAAGGGAGGAAGGGAGGAAGGGAGGGAGGAAGAAAGGAAGGAAGGAAGGAAGGAAGGAAGGAAGGAAGGAAGGAAGGAAGGAGAAAGAAAGAAAGGAAGGAAGGAAGGAAGGAAGGAAGAGCTTGCTCATTGAGCCCATGTTCTCCCTTTGACCTGTATCTTGCTTGCTTGTCTTAATGTTCCTTTGCTTGTCTATTTCTACTCTGAAGAAGTCTGTGTTCTCTCTTGAACATGTACTTCTCCCTCTCTCCCTCCTCACATCTTTCTAAATAAGTTTCAATAAAACCTACCTTAAAAAGGGGGTGGGGTGGGGGCTGGAGCAATAGCACAGCGGGTAGGGCGTTTGCCTTGCACTCGGCTGACCCAGGTTCGATTCCCAGCATCCCATGTGGTCCTCGAGCACCACCAGGAGTGATTCCTGAGTGCAAAGCCAGGAGTAACCCCTGAGCATCGCGGGGTGTGACCCAAAAAGAAAAAAAAAGGGGGGGCAGTAATGAGACACTGTAGCACTGTAGCATTGTTCTCCCATTGTTCACGGATTTGCTCAAGGGCACCAGTAACGTTTCCATTGTGAGACTTGTTACTGTTTTTGGCATATGAATATGGCACAGGGAGCTTGCTAGGCTCTGACATGTGGACAGGAGACTCTCGGTAGCTTGCAGGGCTCTCTGGGAGGGATGAAAGAATAAAACCCGGGTCAGCTGTGTGCAAGACAAATGCCCTACCTGCTGTGCTATCGCTCCAGCCCAAAGAGACACAGAGAAATGACAGCTAATACAGTTCAGACATCTGCTTTTCATTGTGGTTGACCCTGGTTTGATTCCTGACACCTCGTACATTTTGCTGAGCCGTGCCAGGAATGGTCTCTGAGCATGGAGCCAGGAGTAGCCCTGAGCACCATCAAGTATGGTCCCAAGAAACAAAAAGCAAGG